TGCTCCCCCTTCTCGAGGATCCCACCTTCAATATAAGCCATGCGGATCCCGACAGATCCTCTTTTCCCACTGACTTCTGGCATCATTTCTTCTCATTCACGGATTGCACGATGTCTGCGTTGATTCAGTGTTCTGTCCTGCTTCGAGCTTTTGTCCATCGTTGTTCTGTTTCCTTTCTCCAGAGCATCCCACCATGACCTGCTCCACGTCTTTCTCTTTCTACACCTGCTTTTCTCAATAGCCAACTCTGGCAAAGTCACAGACACATTGCGCGTATATCAACCCCAACTGCAGCTAGGCGAAGCAACAGTACAGTAGCAGCATGTCGTCACGTTCCCCACATTCTCGCGCCAGCTTAGCGTCTCACTTCGTCTCGTCTCGCATGCTTCACACGTCCATCCTCACGCCCGCATCGTTTCTGTCTCTCTTTCAGTTTCTCGCTCGCTCTCTCCATCTCACGTTTCCACGCCCTGCCGGCCTTCCTCGTTCCCCGCTTTCGCTTCCGCCCGCCGTGAAGACCCCCACAGTCCCAAGCGCGCTCAGCAAGACCATGTCCATCTCCGTACGCCCCCGTCACCTGTTCGATCAGAAACGCCGTCCTACGCCACTGTCCAGATATCGCTCGGAACAGCAATTTGAATTCCATCGCCAATGTGAAAAGACCCAAACGTACTGCACTGCACTATTTGACTACTTCGCGACCTCGCCTTCGGATGATCCGGTGAGTATGGAAGATTCCCCTCCGTTGATGATTCAGTTGGACCATCCGCCGTCCCGAAGACGTCGACAACCCGAGCATGATGCGAGCATGAACCAGATCCACTAGCGGCACGGCAAACCCACAACGCCAATTACGGATGTCCCGGCCATCTCTCCTCCACCTAGGTACTTTACCTTACGGATAGTCGCCATCCCGTTCCAGTCCACTCCGATCCGCATTAGTGATCACCGGCCACCTCACTCGTCGCCCTCCCGGCGTTCCCCATTTGAAGAAGATACGGACAACGTTTGAAATGTGCAGGTGTGAAAAGGATGAATGAGAGTGTATGTGAAGAAAATTGGCTCATTGCAATAACTCTACTAACGGACATGTGGCAGGTGGAAGCAGGATGAGCATGGTGGTTGCAGCCTTTGTATCTAAGCTCTAGGCAGCATGCGCCGACCCTTCGGAATTCGACTATGAGACACCTTCCCCAATCCAGACAACTACATCGAAACCTCGACATCGCCAAGCGACGAGTCGCCCTTTATATATAAACGACAGGCGACATGAGAACACGACATGAAAAGAATGTATCGCGTGGATATAAATGGTTGGAGACAACGCACGAACTCTGACGGACGTATTGCTCAAAGCTTGAGCTTGGAACCGCGGAGAAAAAGTGCATAGGGATTGATGAGCGGAGGGACACATGAGCAGATGGATTGGAAAGATGGAGCTTGGAGTGCTTGGGTCCCGCCGTTCAGAGCCGGGGAGCCGAGCGTCTGTGCTTGAACCGATAACAAGTCTTTATCTTATCACAACCGAACCATAGGTTGAACCCCGCCATCTCCCTTATCGTATCTTAGTCATCAGTGACTCCGACCTGGTGCCCCTCGTACCCCTCTATTGCCAAGTGAGCATTACATCCGTGCCGTGCAGTGTCCCAACTCCTGCCACGGAACCCCGCCCCGAGCGTTTGCTTTGCTTGACGTGAACTTTGTCCCCGAACAACACTCGCTGCAACCAATCACTTTCTCCCTTGGCTGCCACCACCGTCCGCAACCACCCATTCGCACTTTTCCTGCGCTCTGTCTCTGGGTCCCACCTACGGACCAGGTCCGCCATCTCATATCGGACCACATTCGGCCACCCACCAGTCGTTGCCATGTCATTTGTTACCGTGGCGGCAGCGACCCTGCCCAGTGTCCCCTTGGACTTCAAGGGCAACCGTGACAGGATCCTGGAGTCCATTCGCATCGCCAAGGCTCAGGGTGCTACGCTCAGAACTGGCCCAGAGTTGGAGATTCCTGGCTATGGCTGTCTTGACCATCACCTTGAAGGTACTTACAATCAAACCTTGGCGAGCGTTGCGAGAAGTTACCTATAGGGATGAGCATGGGCTAATAGCCCGCCAGGTGATACCTTCCTCCACAGCTGGGAAGTCCTCGCTGAGATCATCAGCGATCCCATATGTAAGGATATGCTGATTGATCTTGGTATGGGATGCCGCCATCGCAACGTCCGTTATAATTGCCGCGTTCTCTGCACGTACAAGCACATCTATCTCATCAGGCCAAAGGTAAGCTTTCCATCTCAACCCTCTTTTTTGGGGAACCCCTGGACTCACACCAACAAGCAAAGCCTGGCCAACGATGGCCTTTACCGCGAAGCACGGCACTTCACGGCATGGACGAAGCTCCGGGAGGTCGAGACCTACTATCTAGAGGCTGTGGCCGCCGCGGTCACCGGGCAAAAGACGGTTCCCATTGGTGACTTGATCCTCAGTACGCTCGACACTGCCGTGAGTTGTGAAACTTGCGAGGAAATGTTCTCGCCCCTCAACCCATCGACGTTTCTCGGCCTCAATGGCGCCGAAATCATCCTGAACAGCAGTGCCAGTCATGCCGAGCTGCGAAAGCTAAAGACACGACTCGATCTGATCTCGAACTCGACGCGGAAACTTGGTGGTATCTACGTATATGCCAACGCGACTGGCGTCGATGGTGAGGCGCGCATGCTGGTATCTATTCACCGACTGGCCGACATGTTCCAGTAGCTGACTCGGAGTCCAGTTTGACGGATCAAGCATGGTGCTCGCCAATGGCAAGGTCTTTGCACAATCCTCCCAATTCTCTCTGAAGCCGGTTGAAGTCATCACCGCCACAATTTCTGTGGAAGAAGTCAGAAGCTACCGCTCCAGTATCTCTCGAAACGTGCAGGCTGCTGCCCAACCCGACTTCCCCAGAGTCGACTGCGATTTGCGTCTGACGAGGCCCGCCGATGAAGTGTACCTTTCAGATCACCTGCAGATTGCAAAGGAAATCGAGCTTAAGATCCTCGACCCCATGGAAGAAATTGCACTGGCGCAAGCGGTCTTCCTCTGGCAGTACCTCTGCCGCACAAACTCCCCTGGCTACTTCCTCGCCTTGAGTGGAGGTCTGGACTCCTCGACGGTCGCGCTCTTCGTCTACAGCATGGCTAAACTCGTGCTTCAGTCCATTGAGGCCGGGGAGATGTCGACGTTGGATGATTTGAGACGCATCACTGGCGACGAGACGTTCATGCCTGAGACACCACAGGAAGTTGTATCGCGCCTGCTGCACTCGTGCTACATGGGAACTGTCAATTCTGGAGATGATACTCGGACAAGAGCCCGCCGCCTCGCAGAGGTACTCGGGGCTTACCACTCCGACATCTCAATCGATGAGGCGGTCCAAGCTCATGAGGCGATCATTGAGAAGACACTCAACTTCAAACCTCGTTATGGTGTCGAAGGTGGTAGTCCCGCCGAAAATGTGAGTAGCCTCCCGGCAAGATGGGTGTGAAGATGTCCGAGGTTCTGACAGTGGATCTAGCTTGCGCGCCAAAACATTCAGGCGAGAAACCGCCTCGTTGTTCAGTACGAGCTGGCACAGCTATCAACAACTGCAAGGCAACTCCCAAGAGCCGGCGCAGCGCTTCTTGTCTTGGGAAGTGGCAATGTCGACGAGAACCTGCGTGGCTACTACACCAAATAGTAAGCCTCAAACCCCACGCGCATGTGCATACGGCACATTAAGCTTACCAATGCCAGCGACGCATCGTCCGCAGATATCGCGCCACTAGGAAGTATCTCCAAAACGGACGCCAAGAACTTCCAAGTTTGGGCCAGGGATCAGTGGGACTTGCCCATAATGTCCGAATTCCTCGAGGCTACGCCGTCAGCCGAGCTTCTTCCTCTCTCTGCCGGAGTCCAAGATGACGAGGCAGACACCGAGATGGGTCTGACCTACAGGTGAGGACACCAGACGTCTCCAGTCATGGATTCAAAAACATTGACCATTTTCCCAGCGAACTCTCCGAATTCGGTATCTTGAGAAAAGTACACAAGCTCGGCCCGTGGTCAACGTACCTCCGGCTCCTCGGAGACTGGAAGGAGAGGCCCGGTTACGGTCCCCGCGAGATTGGCGAGCGCGTCAAGAGGTTCTTCCGCTTCTACTCGATGAACCGCCACAAGGCCGTCATCCTTACGCCCTCGCCGCATCTCTCGGCGTACAACCCCGACGACAACCGCCACGACCTCCGTCCGTTCTTGTACGTCGTCAACTGGCCGTGGCAGTTTTCCAAGATTGATGCGCATGTCGAGGAGCTTGAGAAGAAGATTGCGGATAGGGCGAGGCCGGCGGACGTCCAGTACGACGCGCTCGACTAGGAGACGAGACGCGAGTTGCTGGATGAGGCTCATAGACGGATGGCGGGCTGAGAAAGTAAGGTTTGGTAGATTACTGTGGAACAACGAACTCCCAAGCAGGTTAACCAGAAGAAGAAAACATCGATTCTACAAGTTACTCACTCAATCACGTTAGAGTTCGTGACACAGGCGGGTGCCTTATCACTTTCCTTAGGGGTCCCAAGCTGTGAAGGGGAGGCTAGATGTCTCGCCTGGAACTGATGAGAGGCAAGGATGGATTTAGCCCTGGTATTTTGTGTCATCTGCATCGACTCTAGTCTAGGGATTGCGCTTCAATGGGCCATATGTTCTACGAAACCCCAAGTCAAGCAACCACTTGACCGCCCGATTACATTTAGCCAGGCCTTGATACATTGATGACTGAGACTCGTTGCATTAAGTATGTCTACATGTGATAACTACGATTTGCAATACCACCCGTACCGCCGATTCATCGTCATCATCTTCAAGCCCAACACGAGTATTCGCACTGGGGAAGAGGCCTTCCTACCTCATCTCAACATCATCGTAGTCATGCATCACTTCCGTGATCTAGCTCTTCAAGTCCTCGCAGGAGTCAGCGTGCATCTAGCCCTTCTTGGTCTTTCCACCAGATGCAGTTACCGGCTCACCGATACCAGCAGCATTGCCCTTCACGTCATCCCCTGACGCCAAAACCTCTGTCTTCCGCGGGAGAATAGTAACCAGCATAGGCCACCATGGCTCAGAGCCCTCATCCGTACTCCATGTAAAGACAGACACCCCAAGTTGAGCATCATAGCAATACACCAATTGTAACTCCTCATTGATAGCTTCACCCATATCCGCATGGCCAATGAGATCGGCCATTCGAAATTTCGCAAGCGGACCGATTTCGCGCGCCCCAACCGCGAGATGCGCCGTCCATCCGCCACACGATTTGCCAGACAAAATGTACCGACGGGTATGGACCCAGTCATTGATTCGAAGAATACCGGGACACTTTTTGAACGTGATACAACCGGATTGGGGTTGAACGTTGTCTTCCGAGATGATGAGGCCTTTTTGCAGGACTTGCTTGAGATCCTTGGTTTTGATATACAGTATAGCCTCCCATTCTACTTTCGAAAGATCCGTCTGTCCTGAATCTGATAGATAGGTGAACACGATATCGGAATGAACATCTTTGGTGGCGTTTTCTGTCGTGATCTTGCGCGGCTGGCGGTTGCGCGGCTGGCGGCTGAAGATGGCACCCATAGTGATGGAGAAGGGCGAGTCTTTTGTAGTGGGTTCGTCGTACTGCAATGCTTGTATTGTGTTGATTTGAGACAGATGCATGGAGTTGATGTAGATGGAAGATGCATGGTCAAGCGTCGCCCTGAAGATAACTCAGTAGAAGACAGAAACGAGAGAGGTCTGAAGCCAGGCCTGACCTTCCTATGAAGAAGGGAAAGTTCGCACGGCAGAATTCGTCCTTCCTACTTGCTAGATATTGTTTAATTGGGCAGTAGGCCCCCCGGGTAGATACCACTTCGTGTACACAATGCAATGTTCATGGTGACCTGACGGCAAGTGCGCCCCTACCTCTTCTATCTTAGCCTGTTATGCTTGCAGAGCGGTCTTTCTTGGATAGAGCAGCGATTCCAACAGAGATCTCAAAGACTAGAGGAAGCCCATCACTAGCGATCAAAGAGAGAAGGAGGGGAACTTTGGCATACGTAGGGACAACTGGCGACACGAAGGGCTACTAAACCAGCAGACTGGCCCCTTAAGGGCACAACTCCCATGAAGCAGCAGAATAGGCCCCTGTCCAGAATACCCCCTTTGCCGGCAAGGATTGTTGTAGTCTTGAGAGAAACTTGCAAAGCCACGCAAAAATGAGACTTTGGTTGACTTGACAAGGCCGGCTGACCATAGTCCTTACAGGCGTGTCCCTCTGTATCAAAGGGGTCGCGTATATAGGAGCTTGCCTAACATGAAGGTGTTTTGTTTCTTTTGGTCGTCCCTGACTAAGGCGGTAATACACTTTTGGGGAATCTTGTTTCCTATGTCCTCCACACATTTATTAATCAGACACTGCTCACTGGACCTGAAGCAGCCATCCATCGCCCTCCTTGCCCAGCGCACTGACGCCGCCCCAGAAGACGAGACTCTTTCCATCCGCTGCGTCTGCGCCAAAGTATCCACGTGGTCCGGGGTGCGCCTTTCCCTCCGTCTTGACTTCCTCTGTCGGAATGAGCTCCACCTCTGCCCAGCTGAACTCGCCAGAATCAACACGAGGCAGCTTGTCACGGATCGCATCCTTCACAGCGGCCGCACTGAAGCCGTGAGTGGGGAGCTGAAGGGCCCAAATATCAGTGTAGAAGTCCTTTTCGGCTGAAGTGCTGTTCGTGCCAAACATATAGACGAGGTAGTGTCTGCCAAGACCAGTGTCTACTGGCACGAGTGCGCCGCCTTCGCGTGGGCGGGGACCCGGAGTGAGTGGGTTGGTAGGGAAGTTGATGGTCTTCCATTGAAGAGCGTCGGGCTTCTCGCGGTCCTCGGCGTTTGACTTGAGGTCCATGTAGTGGATAGCACCGCTCATGTTAGAGTCAGCCCCGACGGTATAAAGAACATTATCCACGAAGGCGGCCGCGAGAGGAGGCTGAGGAGAAGGCGGCAACGCTGTCCAGGCGAGAGTGTCAAAGTTGTACATCCACGTCTCGGTAGATGCCTCCTGTCCTGGTGCAGTCCGTCCTCCGTGAAGAACCAGGAAGTCCTGGGTCTGCTCGACAAAGATGTGGTGGTCGAATCTCGGGGTGATGGTCTTGCCAATCTGGCTTGCTCCTTGGATCTTGGTCCACTTCAAACTCTCAGAGTCCCATAGCCAGAGACACGTCTCGTCGATGGGCTTTCCACTGGCATCAGCACCGCCATTGACGATCACGAACTGGCCGCGGGCTGCCGCCGCATGTCTTGAACGCGGGGAAGGGACGTAGGTCTTGCCGGTCTCTGCATCCTGCATTGCGAATGCCGGATAGCAAGCATAGGCTGCAACTGGCTCACCCTTGGTCATGGCCGGCAAGGAGAGGACATGGAAGTCAGTAGAAGCTAGCTCGCCCTCTGCTGTCTCGCCGCCGAAGATGCATGCCTTGTGGTTGACGACGGTGACTGAATGGTGGGAACGTGCAAGAGCGCTGTTCAAGTGTTAGAGTCAACCCCCTTGGAAGACAGGGATCTGACTTACGACGTGTCGAAAGCGGGGGACTGGGTGGTGGCGACCTGGGACAGTGACACCTTCAGAGGCTGGGTTGGGCGTGCCACAGCGACGGCCGCTCCAGCCTCGATGCCAGTGGAAACGACCTGCTCAGCTACGACAGCGCCTGCTGCGATTTCTGCCATGGTGATTGTGGTGGGTGCTTGGTGTCGAGCGACAGAGACGTTGATTTTGCGGTGATCGGTGGTAGGAATGGAGAAGCGATAGCTTGTTAGCTTGCTTCCTGTGGTTTACGGTCTCGCAGGAGATATTTTGAGGTGTGTAGTATGAGGGAGAAGGTATCATGAAGTGCCGCACTCAACAAAAATGACAGTTGAGGCTGGATTGGTTATGCTGCAGCTACATCCGCTGCGAGGTGATTGTCAGGAACAACTGGGGAACGTTGAATGACGTAGCTACCTTACTTGGGGTCCCTGCCTTCTGTGTACGGTATGACGTCACGTGTTCGCGTCTGATCGTACCTTCCGTTTCTAAATTGGGCTCTCGAAATTGTCCGACATATAGAATCAACACGGAATTGATGCAGGAACGAACAGAATGTCTCAGACATGGAGAAAGGACGAACATGGAGGACTTTCCCGCTCCGGCCCGACGCATCCTATTCCTGCGAGTCAGTCGCCCAACTGGCAGGAGCCAGACAACCTTCATTCAAATGAGAAGGAGTTCGCAAACTGATGGACAAGTCCGATGGAATGAGTTTAATGGCGTACGAAACAATGCATACATGGATCCTGGCGGAAGCAGCTGTCAAGCGAGACGCATGACACCTCAGATTCCCGGCGCCGGCTCCCGAAGGCCACTTCGGCGAGGTGGAGCCTGGCGGCTTTGGTAACCGGACCCGTAATTCCGGGCCTTCCAACCCACCCCACGAAATCAATGCCGAAGCACCCAATTGTTCTCAGCAGACGGGAACCACCAAGTATGTCACCAGCAGGCAATCAGGAGTTGTAGCACTGTACTCCGCCCCAAGCACCGTTCCTGTGTGGAAATACTCGTCATATAACGGACAATACTGCAAGACCGTCGCATTGAAGTACCCCTGCGTGCATGCCAACTCCTTGAATCCACCAACATATCGCCCCGACGGAGGCTGCATCGTGCAATAGACATAGTCGAATCCGGCATCCTCGCCATTGTGACCTCTGCGCGCCTGGATCCATCCACGGGGCAGGATGTGCATCAGCTCGAAGTCATTATAGTCATCGCTGGCGAAGAAGTGATCGCCGTAGGATGTTTGCGTGACGATGCGGCCTTTGCTATCGAGGATGAAGACGCTGGCGGTGCCCTTGTCCGGGGTATACTGCGGCTCGAACAAGACGCCATTCTCTGTGAACAATTCGAACTGCGGGTTCGCGAGCACGTATTTGTCGTTGTACACTGGGACCGGTGTTGGGACCGGCGCAACGGTTGCTAGGAGGTAGAAAGACGGGTCGCTGGCCGAAGGGGTGCATTTGATATTTCGCGTATGGGTCGCAATTTCCGCTTGCTGAAATATCCCGAAGTCAATGTCACAGACGATCATAAGGCGACAACGCCGAAGATTCAGTGATTCGCGACTTACCGTGACAGTGCTAGTCGGAAGTGAGACTTCGGCTGTAATGATCGGATAGTATTCGATATTGGTGTACGTAATGAACGAAGTTGTTACCTAGTGATCAGACTCTCGTCAACGCTGATCTTGTCAACAGGCCTCAGGGAGGATTGCCGGCATAAGGAACCTACGACCCATGAGATCTCAGTCTCAATACTCTTGATGGTTTTGCGACTATCCTTGATGACTGGCCCTGGACATGTGTACAGACACGAGCATGCGCTCTTCTGAACTGCTAACGAGCACACCGAAGTGACTGCTCTGACTTCAAGGTGATTCATGGCCTCTCGCCGTTGCTTCGGCTTTGCCGTTGTGACTTCGAATCGCCTACAGCAGTCAGTCAAAAGCACACACCTCATTGTCATCTATATGGCCTACTCGACTGTCCATGTTGGCCTCACGGTCTCAGTTGCTATGTAACTATAGGTTGACTCCTGTGACAAGGAACTCGTGTAAGCTTCTTGAGGTTCTTGATTGAGCAATGGGGAAAATGACAGTGCATACTGTGTAGGAGAACGTGGATGTCGTAGTTGTTTCAGTGCCCTATCAATCACAAACATGCGTCAATTTGATATACAACCTTAGAGTCCATGATACCTACTATTTCTTCAAGAGTGTACGTAGACGTCCGTGTTTTGGTTGTCGTCGTTGAGACGGTGCCGACCAAAGTCGTGGTTGTCGGCAGAGGGCATTCCAAGACCGAAGAACAAAATTTTGACACGGATGCTGTGCGGCTGACGAGTGATGTGATTGAGGATACGCATGAGGCAACGGCAGGAACTGCGGTACAAGACGATGCTGACTGCGCGTACACGATTGGAACCGCCCTCAGTAGGAGTAGAAGTACTGCACCTGCGATGCTCGGAAGTCTCATCATTTGAAGAAAGAATCGACGTATGGTTGTGTTCTTTGGAGATTACTCAAGAATTTCACCTGTGGAAGAGCCGATTTATATGGAGTGCGACTTGGAAAACCCTCTTACTACCGATTGTCAATTTGAATTACCCTTTCATGTTCCTACATTCAGCCTACCGCCACAATCATAGGCTCAACGCCACACCAATTAGATTTGACAGTCGAGTGACATTAGTCCCCTGCATATCGATGTATGTGTGGTAGTATACATCATAGACCAGGTCAGCCGCAGCCTAGTGTCGGGGATAGATATTTTGAGGCTAGCAATCGATTTCAAGGGGGATTTAACTGTTTTTAGTGCGCCTTCGATAAGACAAATGCCTGCGGTCTTGACAATGGCTCTTTTAATGTCGCGACTTCTCACCCCCGAGGTCTATGGCAGTCTTCTTGCATGAAAGAGGTAGGATGGAAGCCTCGTTGCATCCAGGGACAGTCATTTTCATGCCAAATTGTGGCTTTCATTCGATCACCACGCTCCATGCGTGGAAAGAAACTTCAAAACCTAGCTCTTGGATTTACTGCATATTCTGTGTTGGGTATCCGTTGTTCTTCAACTCAAGGTTCGTTCAAGTTCCCAATGCTTGACAGGTTGGATTAGGTGTTGATACCGCAAACTTGCTTTAGGCATGTCAGCAAAATCACGTCGCAGTAGCTGAATGGAGTCGAGTATACTCACAGATCTACGAGCTCTAAAGTCCGTGTAGAAGCTGAGCCATAGCTCTCGTGCAGTACAATCCTCATTCCCATCTCTGACCACGCAGTCGGGTTGTCTCTCCTTGATCAAACTATCAGAAGATTTCAACCAGGGCTTATGCATGGGCCAATCAGAGAAGTGAAGATATTTGGCCTCATTATAGACAGTTACCGCATCCCAAACCTCATTGCTGTTTGCGAGATAGTAGTCTTGGTGATCGCCGCCAAAAGAGCGAGTCAATAGCGCATATGGCCGGTGAGGGAGAATCATGGCGCTGTCTTTGTACAGGTCGTTTATGATTTCCATGTCATACTCTTCTTTCCCCGCATGGTCCACCTTTTCCACTATCCGGGCAAACTCAGCAACGCTGGGCTGCACGAGCATGATGTGCGAAGCAACTATCTTCTTCTCAGGGTAGAGCCAGTAGGCCCGCGGTACGGCGACCGTAGCGGGCGGCGATAGGAATAGCTCATCGATATTCTGTAGCAGTGTGGAATCAGAGTCAATAGAAAGGACTCGATTATACTGGGTTTGGTTGAAGGCTAGGAGCTTGGTGAAAGACTCAGCCCATGTAGCTATTGTAGTTGACCCATTAGTACATTATAGACCCAACCAGTGGGGCGCTAGCAAGAGACTCAACTCACGATCTGAGCCTTTTCTGTGTTGAACAGTGATGGGAATTAGTTTCACACCATATGTATCCCTCGCATGAATGAGCAGAGAAGCATCTTTAGTGTTTCCAGTTGCTGCCAGGGGATCTAGCATTTCGGAAGGGTACAGCAAGATGCGATCAGCTTTGCTTTGCAGGTGCTGCAATCTCTCGAACACCATAACCGAATTGCATAGATATGGTGTGTTGGTGGCATACTGCACATAGGCGAACCGGGACCAGTCTACGTCTGTATGGCTCTTCGCGCCCTCGACTTGGCTCAACGCCACCTGGGATGACGACGAGGTCGGGCGTCGGAATCTCGAAACCTGAACAGAGTTGTCGAGAACAAAGACCACCAATAGCGCTCCAATGACTGTCCCCACCAGCCAGCGAAAGCGCTTCGAGGCTATAACCTCAGAAAGACTTGGCCGTTCTGTACGGGAGGACGAATCACTTTCAACCGCATCGTAGTCTAAGCCCTTGTTGCGGTGCCATGATGGAAAGAGACCTTGGACAGCCATTGGGAAAGTAGATGTAGCGAGGAGGGAAGTGGGCGAGCAGAGCGGCCAGGCACAAAATGTTTTTTCATAGCTGTCAGATTATGCCACCTAACTCTATAAGACGGATCTTTGTGGATACGATCGATCTAACTTTGGCCTAGGACGCCCAGGAGATTGCTAGACAAGCTTACGGTGCCGTTGTGAACCCTGTCGTGTAATAACAAGAGTGGATTCGCACTTCCAACAGGCGCTTAGCTTCAAACGCAAACTACTTACCAAAAGGCTTCTTGCCGGTGGGCGCACTTTCCTGCAGCCAGATCTCTCGAAAAAGTGAGGATGTCTAGAATGGAAGGAAGAAAGAAATAGAGAAGATTAAGAATGAATGGATCTAGTAGTCCAGAATATCTAGAGAGAACTGTGAATTCTCAAATGTCATGGTTGTTGGGAATCCATGCTTTGACCGAACGAAGCTGAAGCCCGGTTGATCCACAGTCTGGGCAGAATTCTCAGCTGCGAAGACGTAGAAGAAATCCCAACTGCCGACTCCTTGATTCAGTCCCTATTAGCAGCTCATGTCCTCTTGGATATAAATAGAAAATCTCCTGAAACTAAAACAAGCGTGGAAAATGCACTGTCACCCTGTGACCAAACTAAAGCGCACACTTTAGACCAAGCACTACCTCGATCCGATCCTCCTCCCATATTTCTACTACCTCTTCTATACAACCTACTTTTTCATAAATAAAATAAAACCATAGAAAGATATTCAAGCCTTTTATTTGATCTAGAGTATTTTTGATATATTTATTTATTATAAAAGTAGTGATAAAAGTACTGGTTAATATGGATGCTTATTAGGTGTGCGCTTTTTTCTGGTCACAGGGTGACTCTTTACCGCTTGATGCCAGATAGGTGGAGATGAATGTTCGAGCAACCTACGAACCGCCGCAATTCTGCCTATGAATGCCCAAGGCCGATCTTTCATTGCTGACCTCTGTCATTTTCCCCCCCTTTTTCTTCTACATCTCGCACTCTTGGCATCCTAGATTCTTTGTTTATGTCTTAGGTTCTGAGATCCCCTGCTGGTTTCTGTTTTGCGAAGCTGTTTCTTTGAATCGCTGAGCCATAGCTTCTAGCTTCAACAATGGCCATCAACCCACCGCTCGATCTCTCAGTAATCATCGTTTCTTCTCCAATGTCCAGATTCTTTCAGCGTGAGGCCGGCTTCCTTCTCAAGTGGCATGATCTCCTTCGACCTTCCGACTAGACGTTCAGTAGCAAGTCATCAAAACTATTGTCGGCGGGAAGTCGAACATGGCTCTTTGTCCGGAACAAACTCCTATTCTATAAGAATTGAATTTAAACCTTATAAGCTCAAAATTTCCCTCTGAACCAATCGCACAAAAGCTAGCACATATCTAAGTACATAACAGCATTGGACGTTCGGAATAGTACCAGCTCAAAGTCTTGGATAACGAAATGCAAACCGTACTGTCACCTCATAATCGAACCCCCCGTCAAATCACAGACTCTACCCCTTCCCTGGTTTCCTAGTGGAACTAGTATACATAATCTGGGGCAATGTTCTAGCGTATTCTGGGGAGTGTAGGTATTAGATTCATCGATGGCTTAACCAGGCTTCAGACCTGAGTAAGTCGTCGCCAAGTCTGGCTTAGATCATGGGGGTAAAGACCACCACCTCTAGCAGGAGTAGCAACCTCTTCTCCTCGGCCCATCTAAGCGGCTCAATTGTAGTAATACTGAGAATATATGACGTACTCAATTCGCCGATTTCTCGTCATTCCATTTAATCAGGACACTTCAACACTGCTGCTTATCGGACGGACTATTCACTTCACACACCTCTTCCAACAGGCAAATGTCGGTTCCGGATGATTCGACTCGGGCTAATTCCACGGGCTGATTAATTGCGACAGCCGTCCTTTCCTGAAATAAATCCCGCATAGCTCATAAATGATTTCCCTTCTCAACCAACTATCATCAAAGAGCAAGTCTCCTCTTTTTTCTCACCAGCCACAATTTCTAAGATGATGCTGAAAGCGCCCATCGACACTCGGGTTTCGGCCCCAATGCAGCTTATTGTCGTTATCGCCAGCTATGTTATCTGGGTCTCCTTACTCATTTACGGACTTTTCCTCCGGAAGAAGGAGGGTACGTGGTTTTATGTCACTATTGCGCTTGCCGCGGGTCTCGGTGGTATATTTGAGCCGATCTACGACAATGCGCTGATGCTCTACTTCTACGGCCCCGGCCAGTGGACAGCTTTCACCTCGATGGGCGTACCGCAGCCCGTTTGGGTTTATAGCGGCTACGCGACTCTCTACGGCACCGTCTCTGTCTTTCTCAATCGCCAAATCACCAGCGGCATCACACGTCGATGTTTCTTTCGATACGCCGCCATAGAGCTCGCCAGCTCATGTCTCTTCGAGATAGTCGTTATCAACGGTGGTGTGTACGAGTATTGGGGTCCCCATGTGCTTCGCATCTTCAAATATCCCATCGTTATTGGCATTCTAGAGACCGTCCAGGTCATGTTTTACAGTGTCGCCGTCGCCAACCTGCGTGCTAGGAGCGATCGTACGGTGTACCATCTCATTGGCGCATTACTCATATTTCCGATAACTTTCATGGCTGCAAACATCGGCGTTGGGGCGCCTCTCATCATCAGTCTCCATTCTTCTATTCAATCTGAGGCCTTGGTCACCTTGGGGACGATGTCGTCCATTCTGGGCTCCGTGGTCGCCATCATGGCTCTCCCAACCATGATCCCGGGAATTGAGGGGGAAGTGAGACTACCGATGGACTCTTCGAGTTCTTAACAGATCAGATCGTGTCGGAGTTGAAGGACAGCCACAACCGACGGAAGTTTTTGATTAATTATGGGCCGCTGCCAATATGTTATTCAAATGCAGACAGATCACTCACCCACCGTAAGAGTGGTGTATACAATGCATGAAGATCAATTTTCAGATCTAAAAAATAGTGTGTAAGATATATTTGTGGCTTTGCAGCTGTTTCTGGTCTACCGTGGCGCCCCGAACGTTTGTTAAACGAAAATAGTTCAGATGCAAACAAACATCTCTTTTGAGCGTTGAGTTTGATGATGTTGTTGACTAATGTGGCGGCCAATTGAAGTAAGTCTGCAATGACAACGTTCACTTCTTTGCCTCCCCTTCAGATTTCCCACAATGAGCGGGCTGATGATATGCCGAAGCTCAATAAATCTGCGGGGATGGCTGGAAAAAGATGTCTCGTACGGATTCACTACGAGTTGACTAGTTAGCATACACCGGTGGTAGGATGGGAAAGAAAGACATACGTACGAATACTGTTTATCTGCAGTTATTCCCAGTGCGGCAGAAGCCACAGCAACGCTGACCGGTGACTTTGCTAATGCAGCATTGGCGGGCATTCAGCTCGCCGCTCGAAAACGGGTGCTCACCGAGCGGAGTGGCGGCGGCAATGGCGGCGAACGCAGCAACTAAGACGAATTTGAATTGCATGATGATGGCGCTGCGGCAGTAATGGGCTAACGAATGATGATTTTGGTTGAGATTGATGTATAGCGAGCAGAGTCTGTTGATGGTGGCAACGTACTCATTTATATATGCCCAATGCGACTAGGTTGGTGTTCTAGATATGCGGCAGTGTGTTCTAAACCAAGACAAAGTCTCTCTGATTACCTTACTCCGTATAACCTCGCCAAAAGTCTCAACGTACCCTTGACCTCTGCTCGAGTTAATTACTGTCGTAGGTAAAGTAGGATCAGTCTCAGCGGAGCAATAGTATTCCGTCGGTTGCTGCATGACTCTAACCCGACGGGATGTACAGGGTTGTTGACTTCGAGTCTCTCCGGATCTTTGACTTTGAGACTCACAAAAACTCGCCGTGCAGGTCTTTGTGATTTATGAGCAAATAGGCATCTCAAAACCCAGACCACCTCGCTAGGGAATGAGTCCTATAGACTTATCCTTTACCACTTCAACTGTGCCAACCTGCCCTGGCTTTGAACCATTGGCGAGGTGGACCGAGTCTCATAAAGAACAGATTCAGGATCCTCCTTCTGCAGCTTCAGCAAAAGCAGAATGACATATTCTATCAATTGGGGAATTGTGCTAAGGGCAAGGTATTGGGTTTTTTGGTGAAGCCAAAGAGGCTTCTTCATAATTTATTTGACTTTCCGCTCATCGTCGATCCGGAAAGACGGCAAGAGCTATGAGGCCCAAATTCTTGTCATGGCGTGGTTTCAAGTCATGAGATTGAAAGCGGGTTGATTCTGGGGCGGAGATTGTCGATCAGTCAGTATGTTGGAGCCTGCTAGCCTGGCAAAGCCGACGGGCATGACCGGGACGTGGGGCACCGAGGCGAATGCATTTTACGTAGGGTGGATGAGGCAATGCCAAAAGTCGAACATTTGAAGCTGCTGACTCGTTTCACGAAGATCTCGAAGCCGGTCTATTTATCTTCATTTTCTACCGCATCGCTGAGGCCGTAATACAAATGTCTCATTTCCCTCATCTCGGATGATTGTCTTTCCATCGCAAAACGTTAATGGGACAGATAGCGGTAATGGATTCTGAGACATGTCGTGAAAAGGGCCGGCTGCTTGCGTGGTCCGACGATGACCCCAGCACCGGTGAACAGCCACGTAGAGTAAGCCAGCGACTTTGGGCGCCTTGTATCATCACGGTACTTGCGTTTTCGAACCTTCTTCTCGCCGCTCTCTGCGTGTGCCTCATGCTGCGAGTAGGTGGCCAACCTGCACCAGAAACTGCACCACACACCGTTGCAACCTCCGGGCCCTCGTGGCTTCCACCACAAAGTAACGAAATAGCTCAGTTCCCTTTCTTGCTATTACAAGGAATTGTAAAAACCAGAATCACAGACATTTTCTAATACTAGCTGTGCTGCAGTACCGATGAAGAAGACGCTCAACTCCGAACCGATATATGGAGGCCCGATTACGAATGAGAGCAAGGAGGCTTGGGATGCATTGATGCCGCGTATGTTCCCGACACCTGGTTCTGAATCGAAAGATCTGACATGTACGCCAGACGGCCGCGGTTTTGTTATCATCAAGAATGAGACGGCTGTTCCTGAGATGCCAAAGTTCAATGCGACCATGAGTGAGTATAAGGGAGTAATTTCGGTCTTCCACCAGCTCCATTGCGTGGTAAGTTTTCAGCATCCTCTACAATTAAAGTATCTGCCAAGAAGGCAATTGCTTTCCATTATAGATGCTGAGAAAACGACAACTTCAACAGTGGGCTACTCGGGAGGCCTTCTTTCGGTTACTGCGCGATGGCAATTCGACTGAGATCGACCTTGAACACCTTGGTCATTGCTGGGACTTTGTCAGACAAGCCATCCAGTGTCGTGCTGACACCACCATCGAGTGGCAGGTGTCAGATGAGCTCTCTGGAAGCCTGGGATGGGGCTACCAACATCAGTGCTATGATTATGACGCCCTGCTTGCCTGGGCTGAAGAGCGCAGGTGGGGTGATGAACAGAGTATTCACTAAACAGTTCTCTACTACATCAAAACTCCATTATGCCAGGCACGCTTGATGAACTGTCTCATGTTGACATCACATTTCTAAGTCATGGCCCATTGTTCCGTATTTTCTAGCCGCTGGTCTTGGGTAAATATTTGTACTCGGCACGGTTCAAAGCTGATACGATATGAAATCTTTCTCATGCTGTGTCATACTGGCTAGCAGACTTGGAAGGAATGCTCATGCTCCTCAGAAAGTTAAGTAACAGTCATTGTCCGCCGAGCTGCCACAACAACTCTGAGTGGTTGTCCACAACTTAAATGTTAGAATGACCTCACATGAAGTCCAGAGGTGTTGACTAGAGATTTATCTTTCTGATGTGCGAAAGCCTTCACGCTGTTGGGACTAGATTACCAGCCTCCGTTCATTACGGTTATATCAAATACCAATTTAGAAGATCGACCACCATACTCGATTACTGTAGCTGAATCGGAAGAAGATATGCGTACAAGTCTTAAGATAAAAAATGAGGTGCTCGATCCAAACGGTGGAAACCGGGGCCGATACCGGTTAACCTCCGAAATAATCCCCGAAAAGCCATCCGATTCCGGGGCCCAACGATGCCGGGAATACTGCAGGCAGCAAATCACCATCAACTTCTCAATATGGAAGCGTATCCGAGTGCCGACCGACTTCCAGGCCTGCGCCGTGCGACAAAAGGCACAGGGACTTAACCGCCCGCCCCACAACGAACGGACTTCGTCCACGGAGCTAATATGGCACTACCTACTTAATTGTACTCAACCTCCGTTGCTCCTACAAGTTCTTCGTCACAACTCGACTGAAGCTATTTCATTGCTCAGGCTCTCATTGACTCTCCCTGTGTCGAAAACCATCGGGCTGAACTCCTTCACAGATGCTATTGATTCTCCTTGTGATGACCAGAGTACAAGCCGGCACCGCCCAAATTGCGGGGTCACCAAACACACACTGAGTCGCATCAACAGATTGCGTGCTCAACGCCCAGGATAGCAACATTGCAACCACCATTGCTAATCAAAGCCATTTCTGATGGTCTCTTTGGTAGTCATCCCGCCATAAGATCGGTCTTGTTAGATATGAATGGCGTCATTTCCCCCCATTCAACAGACCCGACTCCTCCATCCTTTCGTCTCAGGAGGTACTGAACGCCAATAACATTACAATGTTCCATGAACCCATCAGTCGGTACCGCATCGGCTGGTACTACTTGGCTATGTCTTGTTAAAAGTCCGAAAGGCAACGCAATCGAATCCTTGTCAGTATGCAATAGTTGGGACGATTGCCCCTCATCGGATATACTCCGACATAGACAACGTTTTGGAGGGGTAGTCTATATAAACTCACGGACACCACTTCGAGTCTTTAATCCTAGACGTGATAATCCATCCTTGATTCAACGTTAAGAAAGGAGAAAAAGCATCAGTGGCAATATACTAATTTACAATGGCCCCTTCAGCAACCGCGACAGCGACTGTGACCGACCCGGCCAACCTCCCAGTCAACAACCTCCGCCTGTACGCCGACGGCTCCGGGGATTACAAGGAGCTCTCACCCACAACCTACGACAAGGACACTGAAGCCAAGGGAGGCGATGGTCACCAGGGCGCGAAGGTCAGTACCGCCTCAAGAGCCCAACAAATCATGCTTGATTAGAAGAAGAAAGACTGACTTTATTAATGTAGTACCCTCACTACCTACCCACGTGGAACCCCGAACAACAATACCCTCCCCTGCAGCCTTTCCAGCATGTCGAGCACGGCAGAGACGCAGACCCTAGCTACCCCGATCTTCTTCCCAAGGACGCACAAGTAACCGACCTCACACCCTCAATCGGCACAGAAGTCAGAGGCGTTCAACTTAGCACACTCAACAACGCTGGCCGTGATCAACTCGCTCGCTTCGTCGCCGAGCGTAAGGTCGTCGCTTTCCGCGCACAGGACTTCGCCGATCTTCCTATCGACAAGGCCCTCGAGTTCGGCGGTTACTTTGGTCGTCACCACATTCACCCGACCTCAGGATCCCCTGAGAACTTCCCCGAAGTCCACCTTGTCCACCGTGCTGCAGGTGACAGGTCAGCAGAGAAGTTCTTCGCCACCAGAACCAGCTCTATCGCGTGGCACTCCGATGTCTCATACGAGCAGCAGCCCCCTGGCACAACTTTCCTCTACATCCTCGACAAGCCTGAGACAGGAGGTGATACTCTGTTCTGCAATGCCGCTGAGGCTTATAACAGACTGAGCCCGCTCTTCCAGGAGAGACTTCACGGCCTTCAGGCTGTTCACTCTGGTATTGAGCAGGTTGCTGCTTCTGTCAAGAAGGGTAGCATCAAGCGTCGCGAGCCTGTTGCAAACACTCACCCTATCGTCCGCACACACCCTGTCACCGGCGAGAAGGCTTTGTTCATCAACCCTCAATGTGAGTTTGAACATCCCACACCATCTCCACTTGAATACTGATCATCATCTTAGTCACGCGCGAGATCGTTGGCCTCAAGAAGGAAGAGTCCGATGCTCTGCTCAAGTTCCTCTACGAACACATTGCTTGGGGCGCTGACTTCCATGCCCGCGTGAAGTGGGAGGAGGGCACTGTAGTTGTTTGGGATAACCGCGTCACCCAGCATTCAGCTCTCATTGACTGGAACAACGGTTCAAGAAGGCACTTGGCTAGAATCACACCACAGGCTGAGCGGCCATATGAGACGCCCTTCAAGGGTTAGAGCGCTGCAGGGGTGAGGAGTTCTGTGTTGTGTACATCAAAGACCCATGCCGTCGGTAGAGACGAGCAAGCTTCTGAGCAATAGTCTGCAAGACCAGCCGTATGAGCCAGGTAGTTACGAAGGAAATGCCAAACTGATGATTGATTTTTACGTACTTGTGAATTGGATCCAACGCAAGTCAAAATGTACTTAGTGATCGACACCATGTGTGAACTCAAAAAATGTCTTCGTTGCCCACCGCTAGAGTTAGCCGGGAAATGATAACTGCGGAACATGCATTGTTACTTCTCTGAAGCTTATCAGCCAATTGCCTCAGTTGTGAGAGGAGAAACCTTCTTGTTCACTCCAATCCTGGTCCCGGGAAGATACCGAGTTCCTTTTTGCTGGTACCAACGTCTGAGACCTTTCCTTAACCCTTATCACCGTCAAATATTACTAGCGGATGATGAGATAGCTCCAGTATCCCAAATGAATGGTTAGCTCGATAGAGCTGAAGTATATTTTCCGAGCTATTTTGAACTTGGGGGCATTTTCTGCCCTTGACAAGCCACCGCTGAGGCCTGGAATCACACCGTCGGACCCAGACCTCTGGGTAAGACAAAGACCTTACGGCCTTTAATTAAGTATCTACTCGTAGTAATGAACGATTGAGGCATTGGGTTGTAATAAATTCTTGGCGTCAAGTTGCACAGCCGATTTGAAGGGACCGCCGGAGGGGTTGGCAGTTGACGCGGGTTGTTTCTTTTGCTGTTATCTGATTGGCCAATCTCTCACACTTCGGCCCAAGAGTCTGTCGCAATCCCATGGCCCCCATCACGCAATAAATTCTCCAAGCCTTTTTCGTCAACAAACGTGTGGATGCTCATGCCGCTTGAGACACACAAGGCTCAATAGGGACGGGCATGGATTATCCTCGTTGTCGGCCGCACTATCCACATATGGTGATTGACTCGTCATCTTTGCGGCCTTGAGCAGCTCTCCTCAGTCGGCATCTAGACCCTCACACATCCACTCCCCCAATCACTCCCGGCAGTCCAGACGGGATTCCTTCCGCTTAGCTGAAGCCTCTGTAAAGTAAGCTTGAATTGGCTGTTTGTAGCGCGCTCCATGCCCCCAGGTAAGGGCCGCCGCCCAGCTATCGTCGACGACATTGAATATGACCGGAGCCACCCCGGATCACACCCCCCACGCTGCCCAGCACAACTCGTTGGACCATTGACATGCGGCGCAATCCAGTCAAGCAATTGCACCATAGATAAGAAGTTCTATTCGCTCAAGGGAGAAAATCGCCCATGAGGTGATTGCCTTGGATCATCGCGACACTGTAAAGGCTTTTCTGTCTCTGGAGAGCCCCTGTCATCTAATGTCGGGAAGGAGGTTTGAGATGGATCTGGTTTGAATACCACTACCAGATTGTCGGGTCCAAGGATGGAATGTATAAAGGTCTTTGCATCTCCGCGGACCGGACCATGCTCCCGGTACCTCTGTGTGGCTAGAGCTCAAAAGACTTCAACAGGACTCTGCATTCAACACGACAATTGGTTTGTCAATTGTTTGCCAGTCACGTCCAGCCATGGCCTCGAAAGCAGTTGAAGGTCCCTTCAGGGATTCGACTAAAGAGGTCAACACCATCCAGACCCAAGCTGCTACCGACACTTCAGCTTCGTCTTTGAAAGAGCAGGTCGCCCAGCAGTACGGGTCCACCGACGAACATGTCTTCTCAGATCCCAGCATCGCCGACCACTGGCGGAAGGTCTACGAAAAGGCTTCGTATGAGAACCGCCACCGTTTCGATCCCAACTACACATGGTCGGCCGAGGATGAGAGGAAGTTAGTCAGGAAGGTATACTTTTGTCCACCTGCGCATCGGAGTTAGTCAACACGGACTCAAGTGAATGCTAATTCGACTCGGCGTAGATTGATAGGAAAATCATGGTGTGGGCTTGGGTAAGAAATACATTCTTTGAGCATATTGATGATGGAATTAAGCTAACGGCATTGAAAGGTCATGTTCTGTGCTCTCGATTTGCACCGGCGAAACATTAATCGTGCAATCTCCGACAACATGGTGAGAAGTGAAAGGCGTAAACTACGGCAGTACTGAAGACGCTAACTCGCACACCAGCTTCCCGAGCTCGGCATGACCACGAACGATTTCAACTATGGACAAACTGTTAGTATCCGCATGCGACAAGATATCTTGTGAGGCTCATAGGCTTATGTATGGTCCAGATTTTCCTTCTATCATTCCTCGCTGCCGAGTTGCCAAGTGGTTTGGTCAGCAAGAAGCTTGGCGCCGATGTTTGGATCCCTTCGATCATGGTTGGCTGGTCAATTACGGCAGGATGCCAGGCTTTCTTGTCAAACCGTGCCGGCTTCTACGCTGTGAAGGCTCTGCTAGGTCTTCTCATGGGTGGATTCATCCCGTAATCTCTACCCTTTCCATCTTTGCTTTGAGAGCGCAAGGTACTAACTCAAAGCAGTGATATTGTTTTATGGCTTACATACTTCTACAAGTCTAATGAGTTGCCTCTGAGACTCGCATGGTTTTGGACAGCCCTCAGCACTGTCAACATCGTTGGCTCACTCGTCGCTGCTGGTGTACTTCAGATGCGAGGTGTCGCAGGATGGGCCGGTTGGAGATGGCTGTAAGTTTTTGTCGCAACCGGGGCTCTTTGTTCAAAACTGACTTTGGCTAGCTTCCTTATCGAGGGTATCGTAACACTCATCATTGGTCTCTTCTCGTGGGGTCTCATGCCGCCCGGTCCTACACAGACCAGGAACTGGTTCCGTGGGAAAGATGGATGGTTCACCGAACACGAAGAGCTGATTATGGTCAACCGTTTGCTGCGGGACGACCCAAGCAAAGGTGACATGCACAACCGGTATGAATACTCGTACTCTACGACTCTCACTGTGGACATCAACTAACTCACTGAGCAGCGAGGCTGTTGGACCGTCTCTTCTGTTCAAGGCGATCAAGGACTGGGAGCAGTGGCCTTTGTACCTGATCGGCCTTACCACCTATATCCCACCGTCCCCGCCGAGCACATACTTGTCCTACATCCTGCGCCGACTGGGCTTCTCGACGTTCCAGGCCAATCTTCTCGCCATCCCATCACAGTTCCTGTTTGCCGTCAACCTCTTGATTATCTCTTGGGTTTCCGGAAAGTTCAAGGAGCGCGCCATCGTTTCCTCCATCTCAAACATCTGGATCTTCCCCTGGCTGGTTGCTCTCGTTGCACTCCCTGCCGATACCAGCACTTGGATCAGATATGCACTGTTGACGGGCCTGCTGAGTTACCCTTACTGTCACGCGATCTTGGTCGGATGGAATGCCAAGAACAGCAATGCCGTGCGAACAAGAGCTGTTAGTGCCGCGCTGTACAACATGTTCGTTCAGGCGGGTAACATCGCGGCTTCAAACATCTACCGTGACGACGACCAGCCTCTGTATCGCCGTGGAAACAAGATTTTGCTCGGAATCTGCTGTTTCAACATTGTTCTGTTTTATTTTGTCAAGGCCTTCTATATCTGGCGTAACAAGGTTCGCGACAGGCGGTGGAACGCCATGAGCAAGGAGCAACAGGAGGACTACTCTATCAACACCACGGACGAGGGGCAGCAAAGACTTGACTTCCGTTTTGCGCACTGAGGAGCAAGGCACGTAGTTATTTTACAACATTGCAAGGGTAGAGCATCTTTAGGGCCGCTGGCTAGGTATCGTCGGGGACAAAGTTTGATCTTGCCAGTGGAGACACTGTTCTTCAAGTAGAAGACAAGCCCGCGAAAAGAATTAGGACCTCGAATATCTCCCCAAGATCCTCCCATACGTAGAAAATTGTATTGCGAAAACAATCGTCTCGAATAAGAACTGGTTGAAATAAACGCCCTATAAATGCTGCTTCAATGTGAGGTAAGGGTCTTTTCATCGAGAGGAGAAAAGGCCTGTCAACTTTATATCTTACTATTGACGCAAAAGCAATTGACGATTTGCTGACGGCTGTCGAAGGCCATGACTGCACCAATGCAACTAATGCGCGAATTATTCATTGGCACAATTGGGTACGCTCAAACGGATTTGAGTTGGCCAGTCAAGTGATCAACAAAAGGTTATGCCACAATTCGATGTGCCAGTCAATAAGGTCCGAGATTGATGGTGGCCTCGCAGGCTATGGGGTATACATATGACTGAACAACTCTGTTACGCAATAATACTCATCAAATCTGGCAGTTTCTTGATTTTTACGGCATTGAGTGTATTTACTCGCCGTTTACTGTGCTTTTGCTCTTCCAGCTTTCGCCAAGCGCGACAAAACATCATCCAGCTCGGTCGACATGCTTCATGCATCGCAATCTAACGGTAAATCAGGACTCTTTGATCGCGATTACGAGGCAATGAAAGGCACGAAATATGACTTGTTTATGGCCGCAACATCTCTCTTTGTCGGAATCCAGGCTATTGTCATCTACAGCCCAGTAAGACCCAGCGTCTACGAGTATAGCTCATCCTTACAACTCATCGTCTCAGGCTCAGTTTCCATACGCTGGCCGCAATGCTACCACTCATACTAGATTCGAAACGTCGTAGCTGGATGAAAGGCGCTATCCAGGTCAGTGTCTTTCTCATCCACACCTCAGTATGGGTTCTCTGCACCAACAATGCCCAAGTCGACTGCTGACACACCGAAGTTGTCTTCGATGTCTGCCCACAGATCCATCCAACGCAGATCTCTGTCGGAGCTGCCATATTCACAATGGCTGCAATCGTGTGGGTTCTCAGCGCTTTTCGACCTATGTCTCAGCGTTATCCTTTGCTTTTATCAGTGCAACAACCACAAAATGTGGCAGGCAAAATGGCTTAAGAAAGTTGCCAAAGCGCAGTCATTATATATGCAACTATGAGCTTCATCTGTATGTGGGGAGCCTAGATGATACTTATTGCCTTCTTTACTGGCGCTTCAAAGAAGGCAGAGGATGATTGAAGCCAGGACCCGACACTTGCCATCCTCCCTTGGATACCGGTCCCGGTGGAGTTCGTGTCTAGGTATTTCATGTTGCTTCACTTTTTCCGCAAATTCTTCGCTCACATGTAGAATCTGGAGCTCAAGACACGCATGCTATTCGTCTTCCATTTGAGCTCAAAGTTGTGCGGAAGAAGGTGGCTCTTCACCAATGGGAAGCAGACGGGTTTTTAGAGGAAGCAGGCGCCTGCTAGAGGAATGATGATCACTGGGCTTTAGCCTGTACGAATGGTGTATTCTACGTTCTATGCCCTTTCCCGAATAACCACAACTCCTTAAATTCAGTTCTAGGTGAAACTTCTCATATGTATCGGGAATATGGGTCAAATGGGAGCGCGGATTTTCTTGAACCATAATGCGGGCCGGCTTCATGAAGTGGGTCGTATCGGGCCGTCCCCATAAAATCGTCGGACCGTCGCCAACGACTTTAGACGAAGGACGGAGAGCCGGATCCACCTATATTGTTTGATCCTAGAGTGATCGGGGTTGAACGGCAATCTCTAATGTTCAAGGCAAATCCACATGCATTCTGCACTGGCATGTTTTACGAAAATTAAGGCTACGGTATTACGTGACATGTCCATGCCTCGGGATGCAAAGCAAGGCTTCTCACCAAGCCACCGAAATTTGTACCAGCCAAAAATAGCGCCTCAAATTCTAGACCAGGGTCTCTGGTCCGATTTTGACGCTGAAAAGTAATCCTTGTACAACCTCGACATTTGTGTAACCACACTCTCTTATCTAAACCGCACTGGTGACCATGTTGGGGAGTTGGAGCTCCGGTTGGCGCTTCCGCGGCGTTTCGCCTTGGGAGGCCGCCCCAACCAAGCAGGCTGCGTGCTACAGGCAGACACATTTGGATCTGCTTGTAAACCTCTCTCGTTTCTTCTTGTCTTTATAAACGCATTATCCCAGACAACAATATGGCAGCGCCTGTGAACCAAGGGCATGTAGCTCGTCCTAGCTCTCAACTCTCAGTACCAAGAAGTTACGGAGTGTAGCACGAAATCTCGGCAACTACCTCCCATGTTCTTCCAGTGGTTCAATTCTTATATTCTGTAGAATGGAAGAAAAGCCGACCTTTTCGACAGCGGCTCGGCCGAGTCTCATCCGAGGTGAATGACATCCCCCCATTGTGAAATATCCAAGTGCAGGATTAACATTGTATCAGCAAGGGCATCTGAGGAGCAAGTGTACGCACAGCGAATCGATTTCAAGTCCAGAAAACATAGCGGAAACTCGTTCTACACTTTCAGCACTCTCGGCCCGCTGTCGTCATTCTTGGGGGCGCCCTATCACCCATCCGGGGAAGACCAACAATCTGTTGAATATGTTGAAAATGCACCTAACGGCGATGCCTTCGTTCACCTGCGGACATATGTCCCAGGGGCTAGCAGCCCCATTAGACACGATGTGAGAACTCTAGAAGAGCTCGAAACGTCCTTAGACCAAATAAACTCCTGCCACGTTGGTGGCACCATCGTGTTTTTAAGGGGCTATCAGCCGGCACGATGGCTGAATGTCATTGGGCATAAGCTTTCTCTCGAGCCAGAGTTCTACCGTCGACATCTTCATTTCTCTGCCGCGAGCCCCTTTTCTCAGGAACAACAGTATTCAGATGCGTCTTTACCGTCATCCAAGACCCAAATGATGCAGTTGAAACTTACAACGCTGGGTACACGATTCGCTCACAACAACATCAAGCGATCGGAACAGGAAGAACAAAGAAGGCTTTCAAGTCTACGAGAGCAGATTTCCAGTCTTATGAAGCAATATCTTAAGAGCTGGGACCGATATGGGCCTGAACTTGAGCATGGAATGTCAATGGCTAGAAACTTCTTTGTGCTTGATCGCCAGCATGTTTCATTGGAACAGACGATATCAATTTGTGTGACGGACAGGCAGAACGATTCCAAACATTGGACTGGTAAGTATTATCAAAGGTACCTTTCTTCGCTATAGCGGCAGCATCTGACTTGGGCCAGCGGTCGTTTGGCTAGACTTCGGAAGTGGGTTTGGACCTGATGACAAAGGTCCCTGGAACTCGAAGCTTTTGGAATACACAGGCATGCCTGTTAGGTATTGGGCTACGACACAACATCGACCTGGGATTTTTTTCGCCGACGACAAGACTTTGGGAGGCTCGCGACCATGCTATCAACAAACAGACGATGATGAGAGCTTTGTATCACAGCCAGCAACTTTCAAGCTATTACATGAGGCCTTCGACACACTTCTTGATTGCGACACAATGCTAGAGGATACTTATTACAGCCTGAGCGGTATTTTCAGATTTGCAGTGGCTTCCGAAGCGCAATTTCTGGACAAGTTGCAGCATCTTCTCGAAGAGGACATGCAGCCCGCAGTTCTTGCCGAGACAGAGTTCGACAAAAGACTGACGATGTGGAATTTGGTGCACAACAAGCAGATCCTCGATCGACATGTGCAAAGCCTGGAAGAAATATGCGAATTTCTGGAGGCGAAAGATAGTAATAATTGGACCACGGCCAAATCGGAGAGTGGGTTGAGGAAAGCCGACATGTCACATCGGCTGATTGAACGCGACTACCAAAAGATGAAGCGCCGGGCTATCAGGCTGAGTGAGGATTACTTGCAAAGTACCTCGATGCTGGCAAATGCGGCTATGATTGATGATTCTCAAAGAACCATCTATCAGGGAGAAACCGTGCGGAAATTGTCGACCCTTGGTTTCTTCTTTTTACCACTTTCATTCTCAACATCGATATTTGGCATGAATCTACAAGAGTTGAATGAAGGTAGCTATGCAAAGCTTGGTATTTGGATAGGCATTGCTGCGGCATCTCTCCTTCTCGCCTATCTGATGCTTCGATGGTCTTTCCATCGCCAGATGATGGTTGTAGCTTGGCGAAGGTTAAGAGCCGTACAACAGAACCAGAGTGACGTTTGAAAAAAGTCACAGCGAAGGCAGAGGAAAAACATGTAGGCTTACTGTATTTCGGATATCTTTGCTATCTATGTATATGGACCTTTAAAGGCAACTGGGCGCCAGCTTTCCTCGTCCACAAGTACATAGTCATTGCAGCAGCACAAAGCAGTATCTCAATACCAGCAATAATCGTATTCCCCCATCCATAACCAACCTTCTCGTAAATTGGGAAGGTTGACAAAGGAATGATGGAACCCCCTATAGACGAGGCAACAGTGAAAGCGGCGCCTGCAGAGCCTGAAAAGCCCGGTACGGACTCAACGACGAAGATAAGTAGCGAGAGCTGTTAAGACATTCGTCAGCATTAAAACACTAGCAATATACAGGCTTCCTTACCTGCACAGCCATGTAGCCAAAGCCGAAGAAATATAGTCCAATGATGGGTACGATCCAAGGTGTGTGTGTTGCGACGGACCATCCATACCATAAAAGGCCTAACGCTGGAAGCAGAAGTGCCCCCGATGCTAAAAGTAAGAGACTGGCATGCTTCCTGTCTTCATCCTCCGGAAATTTCGTCGCAACGAACTGCATCAACTTTTTTGATAATGCCAGTGCACTGATCCCCCCAAATCCTATTCCCAAGTATGATAAACCCACGGTTAAAGCTGGAAATCCAAAATGGTTTTGGTAAACAGTGCCCAGAGACGACAAGATCATGTTGACAGTTCCATTGAAAACGCAGATCATGAGGAGGGGTACCAGGCAAGTCAAGTGGCTCGCGACTTTGAGTGGGAGAAGCCATGCACTGCACAGACTTCGGCGGAGGTTATCGAAAGAAGGTAGCCTCGCTAAGAGTCCTCTGACATGGTACTGTTGATTCCGGTGAGACTCATGCGGTTCTGACGTCAACAAGCGTTTGATTGTTGGTTGATGAGTCTCTGGTAACCAAAATAACAAGCCAACTGCAGCAACAGCAGCCTGTCATTGCCACGTCAGTGATTGCGGCACGGCACGGATAAATGGAAACGGATCATACCAAGATGGCAGCCAGCCAGAATACCCATCTCCAACCAAGATTTCCATTAACTATACCACCTAGCACGGGGCCAAGGGTTGGGCCCATGATGGTTCCGAAAGAGTAGAAAGCCATCGGTCCAGGCCTTTCTCCCGGCCCGTAAAGGTCTGCAACCACAGCTCGCCCTATCGCCATAGGAGCGCCACCGAAGCAGCCTGCCAGGAAACGAAAAGTGATCAGGCTTTCCAGGCTGTTGCTGCGGGCGCACGCCACCGTCCAGCCAAGATAAGCAATGATATACAGGCGATATATGCCGACACGCCCGTAATGGTCGGTAAGCGGCGCCAAAATGAGGGGTCCGACGATAAACCCAAGAATGTAGACTGTAACACAGAAGGATCCCAGAGCCTTACCACTCCCTTCTGGCCGAAAGGTCTCCAGGACTTGCGGGACGCTGGGTGCCAGCATCATCGAGACAAGGAATCTGAACTTTGGTCAGTCCACCGAACAGCCTACCTTTCGGCATTGAATGGTTCTTTAACAAGAGACATACGTGAGACATTCGCAGTATGCTGCTAGGCCCACAATGGGCCATTTCCGCAATCTAGGCCATGATTGTGGGTTGTTGCTTGTTGATGCTTGCTGGTCTTCATGCTGCTTTGGAGTAGGGTAAAGAAGATCCTGAGACTTGGAGTCGCTAGTAGGGGAATTGTCCGACATGGTAGATGGGAGCCTGGTGTGCCGATTCAGAAGCACAAGGTGCTGCCTCGATTGCCTGAAATCTTCTGGCGGGCAATCGCTCTATTTGTTTGCTGGTGACGGGGGCGAGCACTTTGCCCAACATCGCAACTGTGCAGAGCCAATAGAACACCACGCCCGGGTTTTTCACGGCTTTTGTGCAACGAGACGTCCCTGCCAATGTGACATACTACCTTATGCAGATACACACTGGGATAAACTGCGCCGCACCAACCGTCTTAAACGGCCCAGCCTGCTGCTTTGATGACGATGTCTGTCTTAAGATCGGAGTGTTAGTGGTGTGTATGATGGAAAGCCATCAATCATGCGGCATACGGCAAGAGTACAAACGTAAGCACACCTACGTATGAACCACAAGGCAGTCTGATAGGCTATTTTCCAGGGCTATCGCTCACGCAACACAACAGAAATGAGGGGTCGACGCGTTTCCCGAGCAAGAAACGATAAGCCACAATTGATTTCAGTCCCGGAAAAAGCATTCCCAGCGGCATCCGAAAGCAACACGCTCTTTCCCGAGTCACCAACCTACCGTGAATGAAAACAGGGCCCTCTGATGGCGATTTCTGTGGTTCCCAAAGCCGGAACAACGGCCAAGCCAGACGCGAAGCTCCGGTAGGTCTCAATTCTTCTATGTCTCACACCTTTCACACTAACGTGATGAAGAATCATCCTAGTTCCTGGCGTGGGAACGTCGCCCCCGGTGGAGGACTGGGGGTTTCTCAAAGGGGTCTGGAGCGAGGAGCTTTCAATCGACGGTAACCACATTGATGTCTCGGGGCATTATCCGACTGTCAGCGATGAGACCAGATTCAGCGTTCAGCAACTAATAGATACTGGAAACGAACTGAGCAAAGTCCTGGACAAGCTGGCAAAAGAAAGCCCGGTGGGCACCAATTCTTCGAGCGATATCTCTCGTGTCTTTTGCTAATACTCAATATTTCGCACAGATACCCATCATCTTCGTGACGCATAGCTTAGGTGGTATTGCATTGAAACATGTCAGCCATTCCGGTTTCTTTCCTACTTTATGATTGTGTGGAATATCACTGATAGGAAGTCACCAATAGGCTTTATCACGACTAAGTCATAGAGTTGAAAGCAGTGGGCCGAACACAATTAGTCTTGTGACCGGTATTGTCTTTGTGGGTTGTCCGCATGGTGTTGATCCGAGTCATCGTGAAACACTCAAGAATAATTGCTCTTACCTGCTTCGACAATGTCTTCAAGGCAGGTCGATCAGGAAGTTTCTAGAGATGAGGAATTGGGAAGAGAACATCTTGCACGTCAATAATATGTTCACTAGCTCCCAATTCAGCTTCCCTATCCTCAGTATCTACGAAGGTCGGCCCACCATCAAGAGATCCTTCATTCACAACAAACAACAGACTGTAATGCCCCGAAGACTTTCGAATTTGTGGCTCTCTCACTAATCGTTTGAAAGATCGTCAACTCACAGCTGGCCAGAACGGACGCTACTGTTGAGAAGCTAGTGGGCATAGATGCAGATCATTTTCAGGCTTGTTATCTTCTTGAGTGCGGAACTCCGAATTGGGAAGTCCGGGCATGGCTCCGTCAAAGGATCAAGGCAGTCGTCCGGGCTAACGAAAATACTACGGGATGTATGGTCGGCTAAAATGTCTTTTCACCATGGTAACTTGCTGACTATCAGCTCTACAGCACAGCTTTCATCCAATGTTCTAATCCAAAGCCCACGGAATAGTATTGGAGCGGAGCAGAAACCCTCTGTATATGCCCTGCAGCAAGGTGATTACATGACCCATTACTTTCCCCCTGTGCTCTGACTTATAGATCATAGCCTTTGGCGCAACATCTTTAGATGACGATGCTACGACCCAGGTATCACTGCCGACACCAGATCCGTCGAGCATGGAGTCAATTTTCCGTGGGTTTTCTAGGTCAACCGTGGAACTCGCGCTTCCTTGTCATATGATGGAGCAATTGTCTCTGAATAGAGATTTCCTCGGCCGCGTAGACATCATGGACAAGATTGATGCCGCGTTATTACCAGCCAGCATAAGGAGCAACTCACCGGCAACACAAAGCCAAACACCAACCATAGCAGCGGTTTTCGGTGTAGCCGGCCTTGGGAAGACTCAGCTTGCATCGCAATATGTATCCACCCGCAAGCAGAATTTCGATGCCATCTTCTGGATATGTGCTGAAAGTGCCGAGAAGCTGGAACTTGACTTTTGCAAGATAGCCACTCGAATTCGCCTTGTCCCGGAGAACGAGCCCAGCAACCCGACATCAGCCAAAGAACTTATCCACTCATGGCTCGCTAAACCAACTTGGACAATTGGCGGTAAAGATGATCACGTCATGTCCCCCAAATGGCTCTTGGTATTCGACAACGCAGATGACCCTCAAATTCTGGACGATTATATTGATGTAGACGGGCCAGGGTCGATTCTCGTAACGTCGAGAAACCCTCTAGCCTGTGATCTTCCTGGTAATGTTGTTCCGATACCCCTGCCTCCTTTCTCAGAAGAGGAATCCCTGGAGTTCTTGAAAAAGACGTCCAAAGGCCTGATCAGGTCCCCCAAAGATCACAATACCGGACGCCAGCTACATCATCAACTGGATGGGCTCCCTCTCGCTCTAGCTCAAATGGCGGGCATCGCGAAGCAACAGTTTCTTTCATTCTCTGTCCTGAAGCAGCGATTGGACGATCATAATGATCGGGGAAATCTTTTTGAGGTCCAAATCAACAAGAATTCTCGCGGCAATCTTTCATCCTTGTTCACGATGGATGGCTTAGGTGCTGAGCCACAACTCCTTGCTGCCATCATTTCTTGCTTTCACCCTGACCACATTGAAGGGTCCATCTTCGATAACCTGTCCTCAGACGATATCTTTGGGGGCAACTCACCAATGAATCGCAACGACTACTTCAAGGCAAGAGCGACGCTCCTTTATGCTTCAATCATCCGAGAGAACAACGATTGCACAGCGACACACCTATCGATGCATCGAGTACCTCAACAGGTTATCAGAGCCAATTTATCCAAGAATCCAGAACAATTAGCCAAGGTTTTCTCCATCGCGGTAAAACTTATTCGCAGCACATGGCCGATGTTACCATTTGAGCAAAGACATGCGAGGAGACAGGGGCCTGTATCACGGGAAGTGCTCAGTGATCATGTCAATTCTTTGCATTACATGTACGAAACAGAGAAGTCTCTTCTCATGCCTCGAGTTGAATCTTTTGAAGACACCGAGTTTGACCTCGGCACAATTCTGCAAGAAACAGCCTGGTATGTCTTCAAAGGGGTTGGGGAAGCTCTAGTCTTATTCGTTACTTTTCCAAAGTCTTTGATGTTTACGAGCTCACGAATATCAATTTAGGTGGCTATACGAGCGCGGCAACTTCCTCAAAGCGCGTGAAACAGCTGCAAAGATACTTCTGTTGTGCGACAAGTACGAGGGTGTGGAGAGATGGCTCGATCTATCTGCTCTTGTGTACGACGTCATGGGATGCGTTGCGAATGGGACTAATCGCCCTGAAGAATCGGAGAAGTTTAACTCTAAGCAGCTGATAATCCGAAAGGAGATCTCCGGCAAAACGGGTAAGGAAAACTTCCAACTAGGATACGCATTCAATCAGATGGGATGTTCCTTGATGATGTTCAAGAAGTTTGAAGAAGGTGGTCAAATGTTCCGGCAAGCATTGGACATCTGGCATAGGGTGCCAGGGTATCGGAAAGGTCTAGCTTTGATGGAATACGCCAACTTTGGTATGAGTCTATGGCTTCAAGGGAGAATAGGCGAAGCTGCTGAGGTCCTTGAGGAAGGACAAAGAGAAAGCGAAGAAGGTCTTGGGAGATTGAGCATGGCCTCATTCAGGTAACGCCAATTGACCCCAGAAAGTCTCAACTTTTCAAAGGTTCTCTAACAGATTATTGTAGGCCAGGCAGAGTACTACACGCACTTGGAAACGTTCGACTCAGCCAAGGCCGCATGGAAGAAAGCGAGCAATTTCACAAGGATGCCCTCAAGACGTATCAGGGAGCTGTCGGCAGCAAGTATCATCGAACGGCCGACATGTGCTACAAGCTAGCACAACACTCTGTTCGGCGGGGTGATAGGGTTTCACTTAATATTGCCATGTAAGAGACATTTGACGCCTGGGCTTCTAGTGCTGATTCAAATGTGAAATAACCAGGACATTAGTTGATCAAGCTCTTGTTACCTATGATGCCAACGAAGGCGCACATGTGCCCGAGATCGCGCGGGCCACCTTCATGAAAGCAAAGATTCTCTACAAGATGAATCTTCTTGATTATCAAAATGAGGACACATCGCATGAGGAAGACATAGAGTTACTAGAGAAGGCTCACCTGATGTATAGGCAGCTTGTTCCGTCAACGCGGATACTGCCAGGGGCATTACGAGAGTCCCATTTTGAGGATTTGGTAACATTCTGGTCTAGATAGTGCTTTCCTCGTGTGCTATTTCCGCTTTCACTTCCAACGCAGACTAGTTTGATAGAATAGATGGAGTCTTTCTCTACCAGAACAGCGCAAACATTGCCAAACTCTAGGTTTCCTTCGCCAAGAGACTCAGCACCCCTTTAACCTATTACTGAGCGCAGGTCCATATCATTTGGCTTGCTACAGATCAGCTAAGTGGCCGCTGACAGATGTAAACCTAATTCGTTCCTTTGACACGATGTGAATTAACAGAGTTGAAGCTGTCAAATCGTTAGGTGCATGAGTGATCAGAGTGGTCAAGATCACAAGATCAGCTATATTATAGTAGCCTCAACCGTCAAAGATCTTCAATCACTTAGCCAGCCTTCATTCCCATTTCATCGAATTCCTAACAATATTTTTAGCTAGCACTATCCTGATGAGTCAGGAACATGCAATATTTTAACGCCATTTCAGATCGTCGGCCGAATTCCAAGCTGAAAAATCCATCGACGCAGAGCCCTATTGATGTTAATACATGGTACTTATAATGAGTATCTCCGTGAGGCTTTAACTTACTAATCGTGTTCCTTCCAAAGATAACTAGACAGGATTGAGAGAACCTGCTAAGGCATAGATCGTAGAATCATGTTTTCGAATACCCTGCGGATGACGCTGACTCCGTGTGTCGGCGTTGTATTAAGTCCTAATCTTAGTTGAAATCGCACGACCATGATCATCTCTCTGGAGACTTGACTGAACTCTTATGCAATGCAAAATTTCCCATCGTCTTCCATGCCTGCCGAGATTATTGTTAACTGATCTATCGTAGTTCAACAGCAATGGCGCTGCCGCACTTGTGGTTTTACTCTGGCCACATCCCCCGTTGCAGATTTGTTGCATCGTTGATACATTCAATCTTACCACGTAGAGTAACCCTTGGATTGGAAGATCCTGGTATTATCTGCGCATCCTGGTATATTATGTGGCCTATCTTCTTGACATACTTAATGTCAACTACATTTCGACTCGGTGAACACTCCCATGCTATGCAATCGATTTTTGAGACTTCGATTGGTCATTAAAAGATGCTAGGTTATCACCAGCATCATTTGGAGATATCCAGACGTCTCTGTTGAATTTCAAAAAGGTTTTATGGGCTTGTTGAGGGCACAAGCATTCTTGCGTACTTCGTTAGGTACCTTAGTCCCAAAGGGTTACTTACGTGCTATGCTTTTGCGACATTTCTATCACACAAAGGAGAGAGCATTCTAGAATGGAGAGGGTGTCAGGGTGTAATTCTTGGAAAACTTCCGAATTAATCATGTCTTCTAGTAGTTAAACTTTAACTTCGTCGAACGGACGTAATTATGACTGCATCACACGCTTTCTGATATTATAGCAGGATTAGTCCTCCTCAACGTCCCCCCCAGGTTGTGTGATAGTGTTTGGCCAGTGGCTGCAGAATCTCTCGCTCCACGTCCTCTTGGAAAGAACTTGCAGTCGTTGTGAGAGAAATTGCCCCAGTTTCCCGAACCACTTCACACCTTAAGCATGCTTCTACTACTGTCTGATAAGCCAGACTGACTTCGTCCTGCAAGACTTTCTGCTCCAAAATCGTCATGGCGGTATCATAATCCTTTGCATCTTCGCTGATCTCCCCGATATCTTCCACGACTACGCTGCTATACATCTGCTTTGTTCTTAATCGAGACAATCTCATCCCCATCGCTAACTCAATCAACGCAAAACCCAGCCGAATTAGCAACGGTTCCCTCAGGGATTTCCAGATTACAGCTGGCTTCTCTGTTGCTTTTCCCCGGCAATTTGGTGCTAAGATAGTCCGTGTCATGAAAATTTCGAAGTCCCTGGGTCCATGCTCCTTGATTGAGAAATTCTTCCATGTCCACCATCTTTCAATCCAGGACGTTGACCAAAATTGCACAATGGCCAGCGCAAGCCTCTGGGCAATATCGTGGCGACTTTGGCGGGACAAAAGCCAGTCTTCAGTTTCTGGAAGCTTCTCATCAAGAGATATGACTTCATCGTCAGGCATTCCTGGTTCCATGAGGCGTGCTGCAAAATGTCTGTCCCCGTACCCAAGTGTACCAATTGTTTGATACGATCTCCGGTTGTTTCCGACATTCCCATGTAGACTTTTCACCAGTTTGCACATATCGCCAATCACGTAGTCCTTAGATTCTGAAAGCGGACGGTAGAACATGATGGGAAGTGTGCGGGTAGTTCGTTTTCGGTGATATTCCCTGCTTTTACTCTTTTGACTGGATCGAGACCATGGTGTCTTGATATTATCCTGGCTTCTGTAATGTCAGCCTCAGATAGATATTATAGGTAATACAAAGCTTCTTACCTTGGAGTTCTGCTGAAATCCGTCTGTTGAGGTATTCCAGGGGCTATGTTTTGTTCCTTTCTGTCGGATTGCACCTCAATTTCGTCACCAACATGGAAATACACTTGGTAATTGGTGTCCCCATTGATGTTAAGATCCACTCCGTGTCCCCTGCTACATTTGCAACGGTAGCTATCTTCTAGAATTCGTGAGAATTCGTTTATGTGCGTTGGAAGTACGCATCTTGGTCTCGTCATGTTGAGGATCTGTCGTGTTCGACCTGAAGTCCAAGATTTCTGTTCAATCGTGATTCGAGGCTGTTCGAAAGCCTGTACAAGCTGCTGTAGATCCTTGTTGTGTTCCTTGAGTTTTTCAAATGATTTTTGAAATTCTGAGTGCGGCATGTTTATTCTCATCTGACGAAAGTGATGCTTCATCCGACTCCGACGCGTGCCTGGAAATGTCTAGCCAACTGTTAGATTTGCCATGATGATTGATATACATAAATCTGGGCTCACAAGATCTGCTTGGCCGCTCTCAAGTTGGCTACGTAAACTAATCATTGTCTTTTCGATCTGCTTCAGGACAGACTCTAGCAACTCAAGTTCCCTTGTACCAAGACGCTTCCGCAGTCTGGTTCGAAAGGATAGATTTTGCCAAGATGAGGTGCCGAGTAGTCTGATCTCCATGTTGGTCAAGTTATCGCCGATACCTTCCTCATTTTGTTGAACAAGCTGTCTTGCACAGCGTTCATAGATAATCTGCTGAACTTCAAGTTTAAGCAGAAATAATTCGCGGTCATCGCCGTTCTTAGCCGCGTTGTAACCTTTGACAAGATTAGCAATAATTGGCCACAGCCCGAGGACTAATCCAACGGCCTCGATGCCCGACATTTTGCACTCGAGTTGTGAGATAGTGAGTGTTAAAGACCGTACACAAGAAGGGCGATATGAAGAGGAAGATATATTACCGTAGTATTTGTTGGTATCACGTTCTCCAAAGTAATCCAGGGCGAAAGAGCCTTGTCGGCCGCATCTTGGTTGAACCTACGAATGGGCTAGCGCTCTACACCCACACCTACTTTCTTACCATCAGTAAGGCATTTTATGCCGATGATGTAGGGTGAGGTCCATTCGTCACAAAGTCTAGTCCTAAGGCAGTTTCTGAGGTTAGGTCAGACCCCGTCGCTGCGGCTCGCCGCTCACTATAATGTAGGCAGTCATGCCCCTCTTCTGCAAGTCTCCTCACTTCCGTCACCGAACAGGATGGAGCAGGTGATAGTGGTGATCCTCATGCCAACTCGACACGCTCTGCATCAGACTACTCCTTGTTGCACTGCATGCTTACTGCATTCAATCTGCAACTTTCGTAGGCTCCGCACGCCCGGATGGTGACAATGATAATGCATTTATTGGTCAAGCCTCAGCCGGCTATAACAGTACCGTATACCCCATTCTGTACTTGAAAAGCACGGTACTTTCCATTCGCAGGCTGTAAGCATTCCGCCTCGCACAATCATATCCAGTCCTGTGCTGCGTCCCAAGGCACACTGCTTAGCGTGTTTACTGCGTTTACCTCTCTTCTCACGAAAGAGGGCCGGCAGAATGTTGCCCCATAATCTGAAGGTCGGTCTATACGACTCCTTTCGGTGATCTTTTCCAAGATCTTTCCAACTTCAATGCTTCGTTCGCCATTAAATTGACCTCTGTACTGACCTGGACTCTCCCTGGCTGTAGTTCACGGCCACATGATGTATCCTCGTTTCTCATCGACAGAGTATGCTACCATACGTCCTGGCAATGACCAGAAGGCAGCTTTCGGCGAAACCGCTCTGATAGCAGCCAAGTTCGAAGAATGTTGCGAAACTCTACAAAGTATCTGTACGATTTGCGAAAATCTGAAGAGCAACCACCCTGATATTGAACTTAATGTCGCTGGTCAAGTTTTGACAGCATTCAGAACCTGGGGCCATGACATCGGAGCATCCAATTACAGTTTGGACCGAAGTCTCCGGTTGAATCAAAGGCTTCGTAATCAGGTCGTTGTGCTACTGAACGTCTTTCAAGATGAACTGAAGCAAGGTAATTACCACTCACTGCGCCGACCTCGGGCTTGTTTGCATCTGACCCCTGCTTTTGACTGACGATAATGGCATGTAGACATTGAAGCGCTTCAACATGGAACCTATCAATGGAACGACATAGATTTATCGGATCCTCTTTTTGACGATGCAATGGACACAGCAAGCCCACTGCAACAGACCGAAAGCACACGCATAGCTGCTGAAATCCAAGAGGTCTTCCTGTGTGCGGAGGATTCACTGGATCAGCTCAAGTCTCTCAATCCTGCCTTGAGAGAAGCTTATCCAGAGGACCTAGATGACGTCCTTGGCAATCCGAATGCTCCCAACGACCTGCTGAATAACCCATTGCGCGAACATATAGAGTTGACTAGATCAATGTTTCCCGGCGCATCAGAAGTCTTGATAGAAAGGCTTGGACGGGCCAACTGGAGACGACAACAGTCCCTGCGTATCATGCGGGAGAGACGGACCAATGATTCGAGTATCAAGACCAGGACCTCAAGACCGGGTTCCCGGCAGGGCCTTCGGCGCGGTATCGCTGTTGATGCTATTAGTTTCCAGCAGCCAAAGCCCTCGATTCCTCGAATTGAAGAGATTCCAGAAAGAACACACAAACACGGCTCTATCTCTGCGTCTGACAATAGCTGTTCATCACGTGCAGAGACTTCCGTGGCACCGTCCCGGCTCCCTCATCCCCATTTCCCTCGTACGGCATCCTCCACTTCAGATACGCAGTCCACAGTTCATAAGGCAGATCCATCGCCTTTTATTCAGGGCTTCCAGCATCTAGAAGTACCACTACCGCCCAGATCCTTGGATGGTCAGCCATTCACCTGTCCGTATTGTTGTTTCGAGGTCAATCTATACAAAGAGTTAAGAACCCCTGAAGACTGGGAAGCTCATGTATTTGAAGACTTACTGGCTTATTTCTGCACTTTTGATCAATGCGATTGGAGTCGCAAAACATACGGTGCGCGTGACGAGTGGTATCAACACGAGCTACGACACCATCTCATACCTCAAGTTTGGGGCTGCGAGTCTTGTCAAAAAGAATTTCAAACCAAACCACAACTAGCACAGCACTTATTTGAGTCACACTCGTTTGACTTCTCGCCGGAAGAGGCAACTCAAATTGTGTCGTTCTTGAGGCCGATCCACTCCCGAAAGTCCTTCTCGAGAGAAAGATGCCCACTATGTCTATCTCCGTTGGTGCCAGCACAGATGAAGGAGCACATAGCGGCGCACTTGGAGCAATTAGCTTTGACAGTTATATCGGGGGAGGGGGGTACGGAAGAACATGATAGCGATGATTCTATGTTACAAAGCGGTAACAACAACATGTCCCAAAGAGGAATGAAACTACGGATGCTGCAAGCCTTTGCTGAAGAGCAAGGCGCACAGTTGAGACAGCGCCCGTGCCCGGCCGAGAACATAGACGAAACCGAGGGTGATGATGTCTCAGTCGAGAATGAACCAGTATTGGGCTTCTCTGTTGAAGCAGATAGTGGATTGCTCGTCCCCTCGGGTGCTTCGGAAGGAGAGAAGGGACAGGAGGTAACAAGTCTTGGCACTTGTCCGAGCCGCCCTATAGAATATGCTTCAAGCCGATTCCACCGCCGAACTCGGTCCGACACCGACTCGATGCGAAGATTTCCAATTGTCCAAACAAGGGCCTTTCCCAAAGATGAAAGTTTCAAAGGCCGCGAAAAAGAGTTGGTCAATCTCTACAAGATTTTGTCAGAACCTGGCCGGGTTTATGTTCTGAGTGCCGATGGTGGCATGGGGAAGACAGCTCTAGCCGCTGAATTCACCTACCGATACGAGCAGTCTTTCGAGTACATCTTCTGGGTTCAGGCTGAGACCCAAGTGGGTGCTTCGGAAACCTTCAACCAAATTGCTCTTGAATTAGGCTTAGCAGCACTAGGCAATGATTCAGAGGAGCTTACGAAAGTTGGGCGTGAGTTCCTGGAAAATACCAAGAAGCGATGGTTGATGGTTTTCGACAATGTGGAAAATTGGGATAGTATTGACGGGTTCACGCCAACAAAGACATCAGCGACAGCAGGAAGTATTCTTATCACCACGAGATGCCAAGGCTTTACGGCACCATCAAGGCCAGTCAACTATTATCGCAAGACACTCGAAGAAATGTCGATGGACGAAGGAAGGGAACTTTTGCTTCACGGGCTTCCCTTGGATCTTCGCCCATCCACTTACTCCCTGAGAGATCCCGAATACAAAGCCGCGGGAGATCTGGCAACACTAGCCGGCTTGCCACTGGTAATTGTTCTGATCACTGGGTACATGAAGGCAATGAACTGTAAGCCGTCTGAGTTTGTCAGCTACTGGGATTCGTGGTGGATGGACAACAACCCGGGCTCCGGTCTAGAAGACGGAATAAGCACCAACGGAAAGCTTGACACCATCATGAAAATTTCCACGGAAGATCTCAGCAGCGATGCCAACAAGGTTCTCCGTATTATGTCTTTCTTAGACAGTGACGGGGTTCCAAAAGACCTTCTACTCATTGAGAAAGGTCAAAGTGGGCCATCCTATCTACAAGCCTTCAGGTACGAGATTCAAGTGACGTTTCGGCCCATTGACTAATCATTCGTCAGGATCGAGAAAATCTTGAACCAGTTGACATCCAAGCACTTCATCTCTGAGAAGATCCAAGATAACAAAAAGATGTACATCGTTCACCGATCTGTGCAGATCAGAATCTCCCGAGAGCTTCACAAGAAGACTCGACAAGCTGAGGAGCTGTTCAAACTGACTGTCGAGCTGGTCCGTCGACGGCTCCCGCGGCCCTCTTTGGACTTCCCAGACCAACAGAAATGGAGCCATTTCAAGGAATACTTGCCCCATGTTGCGACCCTCCAGAAGATTTATTCCGATCAGGGCACGATTATCGCTTTGACACCTTTCGTCGAACTTGCCGAGTTGTTCAAGGATGGCGGAGTGTTCCTGTGGCAAAGGTTCCTCCGAAATGACGCCATGCGGCTTCTGTTGGCTGCAGAGAGAATCCTCGACCAACTGGAAACGAATCACGATGAGCTGAGAGCTGAGATCCACGTTACAATGAACCTCTTGCTCCAATATCTTGGTATTTCCCGTCGCAAGGAAATTAGTGAGCGGGCGAAGAAGATACTAGACTTCAACCAAAATCGTGCAAGGCAGCTGGAAGCTTCAGGCAAGCTCAGCGATGTGGACAGGATCCGAGTCATCAACGCTTTCGCGGACTACGCCAACTCATTGCTCCAGGGCAACGACTTCAAAGCTGCCGAGTCGATCTACAAAGGCTGTCATGAACGACTGCTTACCATCACCTCTGAAGAATCGGATCCCTTCTCCTTTGCAAAGCTTGCCCATCACATGGCTTATTGTAGTATGTATCGGCACGATTTCGGGGAAGCCATCCTGCTTGCCGAGAGGGCTATTCGACTCATGCAAGTATTTGGCGACAAGTTGCTTGTTCTGCGATTTCAGTTCGACCTTGCCTGCATCGTGCTGCAGAGTGGCGACTTGAAGGGCTCCCTAGACCAGCATGAGATTATCCTAGCTGAGAGGATCAGGCTTCAGGGTAAAGACAGCTACTTCACTTTACAAAGTCAGTATGCTGTGGGTGCATTGTATTCCTATCTTGAAAGATGGAACGACGCCGAGTAAGTCAATTCAGTGTAATTGAAATCTCGTCCTGACTAATAGAATACCAGGTGGCAGGTCAACAACGCCTTGCAGAAAGCTGAAGGTAAGCCGGGGAAAAGTGTCTGGTCAGATGCTGCGACCGCGAGAGCCAAGTTCCATCTATCCCAAATATTGAAGGCGCGGAATGGTGGCAAGATGTCAAAGGATGCGGAAAAGCTAGCCCAAGAAGGGAAAGACGTGTTATCAAAGCTACTTGTGTATGATGACATCTCTGGAGTCGAGGAGGAAGATACACTGGCACTGTTCGATCATTTGCAGCCGGTCTTCGGAGGACGTTGGACGGGAATGAGTCTTTTGAAGTACGTATCCTAGCCAAGAACAACTAGTTTTTGGCGTGGCGAAGATGTCGCGTTACCAAACTCTTCTCGTTCTCGGTCTTGGATTCTTGACGAGGTGGTGAAGCAAGTAGGCATGTCACCAATCTACAGAATGCGCATACTGGGAGTGAGCTGGCTCGTGTTTATGGACAAAGGCGGCAATCAAGTCAGCTAATTGACAGGACATTACGCAAAAAAAGTACATAACCAAAGTCCAAGTTATAGACTCAGAGTTTGGTTGCTCTCAAGTAAGTCTTACTGAGTACCTGAGAGGTACATGCACTGCACCAACAAATGCTTGCTCACGTTAGCATTGTCAAGACAACACTGAGTAATGCAGGCTGGCAGCTCCCAAAGCAAATGCTCACTTCAGGCCTCCTGTTCGCCGAGGAGGGCAAGGTGCGCGGTCATGTAGTCATGTAGGTGCTGCAAAGATCCTCTGCCTGCAGCCCCTTGAAAGCAGCCTTGGAAATCTATCCCGCCCTCTCCACGGTCCATGTCGACAAGACCGCCTCGCCAGGGTGACATGTGACTATGGATTCGCCAACAGCGAGGTTGGTTCTAGCCGCGCCGTGTGGCATCCGCAATGCCAAGCCGGCGATGAGTGACCCTGCACCAAGGTTTTGCTCCATCCTCTATCCTTCAGATGGATCCCCATCTAAAGGCTCTAGTGGGTCGGAGATGTCAAGGTCAGGATAACCGATCGCACGCAGTGTGCGCATCAGTCTAGACGCAGCCCATCATGCGTTTCTCTTCTGCAGCTTGGCTCCAGCTTGGCTCCCGGCCACTTTTCTCGTCCATCAGCTACGCCCTACGGAAGCAAATTCGGCCTAAGGAAGAGCTACATGTGTAATGAAGATTTTCGCGAGTAGCGACTTACAAACTTCTTTAGTAATGTTAGTGATCGATTCTTGTCAAAAGGTAGATTTTACCAGACTAGGCGAAAAGTCAGACCATGCCCATCAGGGGTGCCCCTTGAACGCGCTCTCATTCCTGCTCCAACTTGAGACGAACCGATTGCCACATGCGAAGTAACTCGGTCTGTTCCGAAGAAAGAAGGCGCCAAGTCATTTCCCACGATGCAAAGGGACTCTTGCAAGTTGCGGACCCCCCATGTCTAGCCCTCGGTTAGACAAATGCAACCCCAGGGCTGAAAACCTCCCTTGTCTAGCGTTGCCACTAGTCTACGCTGAGATGATCCTCCGGTAGAGGACCTTGCCTGGACTCCACGATGCCGAAGGCCGGATTGGACGGATGGATCAGATAACGAGGGTGGTGGGGTAGCAGAGCGGATCTGATAACTTGACTTGGCATCATGTGCAAGAGAATAATTCGGCGAGGAACTTTGACTTGGATTTGTGGCGTTTGCGCCACCAATTCTAAGCGAGGCAATTCGTGATACTTCTCATTTATGAGGTATTTGGAGACCGTTGAGGGTTCTTCGTGTTCCTCTTGGGAAGTTTTAGACTGCACTCTAGTCTGGTTGCTTTGGAACCAATCGTTTTTTTAATATCATGATGTGGATGCCAACACGCACAAGGCCCGCACAAGGCAAGACATGAGGTACCTTCAATTACACTCGCTGGGCCCAGCTGTTGGTTGTAGCTATATGTCTAAAGCTTGGCAACGACACGGCGGGGAACAGTTCCACAGACACGTTGGCCATGGATCAGTGGTCTTTTGCTAGTTCATTCGTATGTCGGGTCTGCATGAGTTCATAGCTGTCCCGCCCATTTGGGTGGGTGGGCGAAATCGAGTCACAGAGTCTGAGAGTCCGCAAAAAAGGTTGCAGCCATCAACACTTGGCCGAAAATCCTCAGGGGTCTAGGGCGTAGCAGAGCGGGGGACCAACACGAGGGCGCGAGCAGACTTTTGCTGCTAGAATGGCGGATCTGATAACTCTAAACGAGTCTGGACTTTGGACCAGGTGGAATCGCGCCGAAGTGCTCGCTAACTTAGCAACTTGACTGGCCCACTGGCATCTCCCTTTGGAGTTTCCGTACTAACCTGGTCCACGTAGAAGACTTGAAGTTCCGCATCGCAGAGACTTCTCCGTAAGTTGGTTGAGCCGGAGGCTTCTTTGGTCTGGGCGAGACCAGACCATTTTTACCTCCTTTGGTAAGTTGGTCGGGAGGAGACTCCGCATGAGTAGGGCAGGGGTTGACTTTGAAGCTCTATCGTACTCCATCGGAGTTGTTAGACGGGTTGGACTATGGGTAGATGATAGATACATGGATTACTCCGTACAAGGAGGGACAGAGAACATATATAAGTCCAGATGCAGTCCTCGGTCAGAGCTATTAACCCACAAGATAACTCAAATCATCGTTCTTTGTCATCTTCCATTACTCATATTGACATACTTCATGTCCATATTTCTCAAACATTATTGAACTAGATTGGCTTCAAACATCAGTTAACATGGGTTACGCAATTCTGCCAGCGCTGATTCCCGACATCCAGAAGGTCTACGATTCATATTTCAGTGCCTTCACTGGTGATGAGATGGGAGAGATCATGGTCAAAGTTCTCTTCCCCAACGGCGTAGACTCTGAAGAATTCCGCAAGGCACACACCGCTGGCACGTTGGCCTGGTGGCATCACAGCGACTGCCAGTACACCTACAAGTGCGTCGACACCGAGACTGGCGAGATCGTGGGCATGGCCCTGGGCGACATCTATCTCAGAGAGCGTACCGAAGAGGAGCGCAAAAACCATGGTGTTGGCTGGCTCGAAGGCAAAGACAGAGAGCGAGCCGAGGCTGTTCTCAACCCCCTGCACGAAGCTAGAGAGAAGCTGTTTGGCGGTCGCCGGTACATCTGTAAGTCGACGAAACCTACAAAGGGTACCCTGGCAAAAAAAAGACTGACTCGACCTTCTCTTTCCAGACTCCCATGTTATTGCGGTCGATCCCAAGCACCAGGGCAGAAAGGCCGGTGCCCTCTGGTGTAAGTGGGGAGCGGAACTCAGCGACAGCCTGGGTCTCCCTCTGTACTTTGAGTCGTCCCCTTCCACATACAAGCTCTACGAGAAGATGGGCTACGAGACTCTGGACGAAACGATTGTTCACAGCGCGGAGCTCATGGGACAACCGGAAGACACAGTCGTTCCCCTCATGGTCAAGATGCCTGCATGCGCGGGGGGTATGACTTTCAAGGAGTGGCGTGCTGCCGGGTACCCTGCCTTCAATGAGGTCAAGAGCGTCCCGGCCGCTTCCGTGGTCGATATGATTGGTGTCGACAAGAAGGCTAGCAATGGTACCATGGCTGTGGAGGTGCAGGTTCAGGAGGTACATGTCTGAGAGAAGACTGGAGGGACCTTGTATTTGATATCGGTGTTCTAGCATGCTTGAAAATTCCCCAATTTGGTTAATGCAATCGACTCCTCTAATGTTTATTTTGTCTGATAATGCTCCCCTCCCTCCCTTTCAAAGGGTCTTTTGCACGCGAGGTCCATCATGGAGAACCATGACTCGTTGCTTGGATGGCCCTGGCTCGGTTCTCGGAGTGGAAATTAGGCTCCTTGTCCCGGGACAGGGGCACCGGCGTCGGCAAGATCTCGTCCCTGTTGGCCGTACGGGCCCACGGAGATGCTTAAGCCGCCTTTGGATCTTCGTACCGGGTGTGGTGAAAACGCTGCAGTTTTTTCCATTAGAGCTTAGAACGAAAATGGGCGAGGGATTCTCCTCCGGCGGAAACGTTTGTACGTAATAAACGCTCACAACCGTCCCAAAAGTGTAGCACGTTGTCTTAGCGCCCGAACTCTTGAGGGACGATGGAAGTTATGGTAGAGTAACACCTGGTTATCTCATGCTCAGCGGCACTGCAAATTCTCTAGGTCAAGTTAAGGCCGAGGTCAGTACCAAAAGCCCGAGGAGCTGCCTCTTTTAAATCCGCCTCGCGTGCTAACCAACAACTGAATCTGAGCAGTTCCGGGGATAGCGTCGGCCGATGCGACATCGGTCAATTCAGAGCCGATTCGTCCGCCGAATGACAACACGCTACTAAACGAGGCCAGTTCCTGTTTTGATCTAATCAGATGCATCTGATAAGTATTGAGACCATCCGCTTAATCGGATCCTGTCAATAATCATTGTACCACACCTCCCTTGACTATTTCCCACCAACAAGCCCGCGGACTCCGGTTATTGGCCGTGACTCAACGATGGACAAAATCAGGAAGGTCGTCCTTTTCGTGAGGCTTGTGGGATACTCGCTACGGCTTTACGCGGACTTTTTCTCGCGATCTTACACCACCAAGAAACTCCCCGCCGGTCCCGCATCGAAAAACGGCGAGCCGATCAACATCGTAGTCATCGGCGCTTCTTTTGCCGGGTATCATGCTGCCAGGGTGATCGCAACCTCCCTTCCCACAGACGGTCCGTACCGACTCATCATCGTCGAACCGAACCATCATTGGCAATTCACCTGGACGTTGCCTCGCTTCTGTGTCGTCGAGGGACATGAGCACAAAACATTCATTCCCTATGGCCCCTATTTGCCAGCGGGCTCGGAGAAGATTGTACGATGGGTTCATGATCGCGTCTTTACGATCACCGAAAATACGGTGACGATCCAAGGCACGGGAGAGAAGATTCCATACTCGTACATGGTCATCGCGACAGGGTCGGGCGTGGGCATGTCTTTGCCGTCAAGAGTGGGATCAACAGGCAAAGCTGAAGGAATTAAGCTGCTGCAAAACTTCCAGCAACGCATCAAAGCCGCCAAGAATCTTGTTGTTGTTGGCGGGGGCGCTGCAGGCGTCGAGCTTGCTACGGATGCTAAAGACCAGTACCCGGACAGGAATGTTACATTGATTCACTCTAGAGACGCAGTCATGAACCGCTTCGGTCATGATTTGCAGGTTGGAGCTCTCGCGGGCTTGAAGGATCTAGGAATCGAAGTCATACTCGGGGAGCGGACAACATCCGAAACACCCGTGGATGGTTTCGTCACACTTCGCTCTGGGCGAAAAGTCGAATGCGATTTCATGGTGAGCCAAGTTTTGAACCCCCATTTTCTGGGTAGCCTTGTAACAAGTTTCGGACGTCTAGGTGAACGCCACTGGCCAGCAACCTTCTTCTCAGCTCATCAGCGATTTCGTTCCCGAGGCAATCGCAAAGTCAGGCAGGATCAAGGTCAAACCAACAATGCAAATCGACGTCGACTCGCTACCGCACATCTACGTGTGCGGCGATGTTGCCGAGGCCGGCGTCACCAACCCTAATGCCCGAGCCGCTATGAAGCAGGCCATCTACGCCGCGGATAACCTCGTTCTTGCCCTTCAGTCGAAGAAGCCTTCCAACATTTACGAGCACTACTGGGCAGACGGCGTCATTAAGCTGACGCTGGGTCTCGTAAGTTTTTATCCTAAATACTTTTCCACAGTCTATGAAGCTTCACGTCTAATGCTACCCAGCATAAATCCATTACGGCCTTCGGTATTGGGGACACAGAGCTGCTCTTCCGCGGAAAGGAGAAGGAGGTTACGCTAATGATCGAGCGTGCTTGGACGAACATGGGAGCTAAGCCGTATGAAGACAAGGAATATGACACGGGAAGAGCGCAAAGCAGCGTCGCTGATAAAGCTCTCGAGGTGGCCAACGAAACGGTGTAATATGCATCTAGCGCAACCGAGTTTCACTGTCGAGGGTCTGCTTGCGGTATGTTTAGATATAGAGATGTTCTTTCAGGGTTCGAAGCTAGAAGATACCAGCACAGGTGTTCAAGATCAATCAATGCCCTGTCTAATGCATCGAGTGACGTGATTAGATCAGATCTTCCTAGGTTCCGCCCTTCTGAAGCATCGTGAGGTACGGCTTCTCCCACATTCCGGGTGGGACAAGACCAAAGCCCTGCCAGGCTGCTAGTCCCCAGACTCTAGATTGCAACCCGCTGTCCGCATACCCCATCGGCTTCGAGACGCCTGCAGATCTGCCGGTCACACAAAAGTTAAGTCCACTAGTGGGTAAGGGTCGTGTTGAGTGCAGGAAACCTTGATCAAACCTCTTAGTTCTGTTTCTTGTTGGCACTAGAGAGGTCAAGCGCTCTTCAGTTGCAGTACTCGAAGAAAACGACTTGCCATTCTCTTCGTATATCCATCCTTCCCTCGAAGCTAAATTATTCACAAACAATTTATCAATCCTTGTTGCACAATGCTCGATACTTGATCTTGAGATCACATTTGGCCATTGCACACTGTTACCTTACACTTCCGCCCCGGATCCTTCTCCCCATGTACATCATCAACCTTGATCCAAACATCCACCTTCCGGCACCTCTCCTCCTCCATCTCATTCCACAATTCCCCACACCGCCAGCAAAGATAAAACACTTCTCCTCCCTTCTTAGTCGGCTGCAAGTGCCCATACCACTTCTCACGAACAGCACAATCCCAGCACCGCCTCATCATCAACGACTTCCGAAACCACGACTTTTCATACCTCCGCATTCGGTCGCCGAAGCAATTCTTCTCTAGGATACGACCGCATTCGTAGCACGGCCATCGCCCTCCAAACCCGCGGTGCCCGTAGCGATAGCCGTAACGCTCCGTCTTGTAGAGGTACTGATTCCGTTGGTGTTTCGGTATGAGGGTTTGGACGTTGAGGTGGTTGTGGAGGAAGTGATTGGTGGCTGAGAGTTTGAGAATGTCCGCGTATTCCAAGTAAACGGCAATCTGATAATGAATATCGAAAGGCAAATTCTGGAAGGGACAGGGTATTTTAGGTGTTGTACCGGGGTCAAGCTCCCTTGCTAAAGCCATAATCAATGTTGGCTGGATCATGAGTTGTTGTATTTTCTGTGGTCCTCTTTCCTGCCATTAAGGGCAATGATTTCCCAAACGCAAATCGAAGCTCTAAGACGTTCCAAAATTTCAGTGGTTGATGACAATGTTACTTTGACCAGGCGAAAAACGGGTTCTTTAACTCGTTGCTGCCTGGAATTGCTGATCGCGGTGTAGGAGTCATCGTTGCAACCGGCTTAACCGGCCCGGCTTACCGTGCTTGTGTTAAAATTGAGGACTGGTGCATCTCTTTAGGATTGAAGCATACAGGAATCTTTGGATCTATTCCTTTCTTTCAGATCTACTAAATTCATACAGCAAAAGACTACGTTAATACTGTTAAAGTAGGGTTCGAGGTTGTTTCTCGGAATTAAGGGGTCTTGCCCAATATTTTGTCGATGTCTATTCAGTAGTATTCAATGCTTAATAAGAATACTTTAAAATACCCTTAGTCAAACAATTTTGTTTCCATGTACTCATGTTACCCATTACACCCCGTGACTCCGGACTCTCGCCATGCACATGGCACAGAGAAGCAAACTCATCCCAAAAGTCCTCCATTTTACCACAATACCGATATGAATCCCATGGTCTCATCAGATTTATCTCCTCATGTCAACGACTGCTGCAAATTATACTCTCTAGGCTTTCCACCATTGATATACTCCCATAGCCTGCTCTTTTGGCAAACCTTGTGCCCTTCGACGTCGCAACTGCCATTTCCAGCTTTCATACGCTTGGCCATGAAAGACTCCTTGCTCTCTACGACGCCAGTGAGGGTTTCATTCAAGGGAAACAGTCTGTCGAGATAATGCTGGTTCAACAGGTGACCCAACACGTTGTTCTCGAAAAGTAGTCCAGCAAAAGTGTTCTGTCTCTTATCAAGGCGTAAAATGTCATCAACGATGGGCAAGAAAGGATGCCTTCCATCCATTGGCTGAGGATTGCTTTGCTCGGCAACCAGAGACTTGAAATGAATGACTCCCCATTGGGATACAAAGTCACCAGTGTTGCCATAATGCTCGATGTGCCCGATGACGTGTTCATTTTTAGAAGTTTCGGGGTCGTTGAAGTGGTTGGCAGCGTTACCGAAAGTGTAGATCTCCAGCTTATGCAAGGTCTCTCGGCGGTAGTTGGAGAGGAGCCAATCGAGGATGATGCTGCCCTCAAGGCCACCTTGAGAGTGAAGGATGAGAACCGTTTTGTCTTTCTTCTGCGCAGGGTCCAGGGCAGCTGTGATGAGCGCATAGCAAGTTCTGGTGTCCGAGGTACCAAAGTAGAAGCATCGCTCTAGGAGACACTGGATAAGGTCGAAGATGATTCCAGACCTGCAGCATTTTGGTTGAGCGAAGGATGCACCTAAAGTCAGATGTTGGTAAAACCTACGTTCTGTTATGGACACCGGTGATGGGACGCTGAAAAGTGCGTGATAGTCTGTTGATGTTCCCCTGCAGCCAATGCGAGCTAGCCTCCCGTCAAAAGCATATTCACAAGACAGTGTGATCAAGGTGCGCTTACCCAACGGACACGCCGTTAAGAAAGATCCATTCTTCGCTGTAGTTCTCGTTGGGGTCCAGCGACTTCCATTTAGCCGCCTCTGGCCACAAAGCATGCTGAGACTTGAGCAAGTTGTTCTCGGTTCCGGCATTGAGCTGTAAGCAGAAGATATAGTTGACGAGGATGAATCCGCCGACGTACAGCACGAAGAACTGGAAGGGAAGGGTAGCCAGGAACGGTAGTGAAATCAAGAAAGCCAGTTGCGTAACGATGAGAATACCGTGTATAAAGAGACACCAAAGGTTTCCGACTGAAGGATACAGCTCATCCATCTCGCCGGAGGGATAGTAGGGGTCGACTTTGCCTTGATACCAGGTTTGGATACCCGTGATGGCGCTGTCTATGGGGCCCCATAGGAGCCATCTCGGCACCCATGACTTGTCAAGCTTTGGGTATCGGACTCCATCTCGCCGAGGATACCATAGTGGAGTGATGACGAAGGGGATGAACCCGATGCATCTAATGAAGAGCACCAAATCATCCCAGAGAAGGCGCCATGGCGGTGCAGTATAGTATTCGGGCAGCGTGGCCTTGATTTCTTCGGTGTCGCCCGATGGCGGGCGTGGTGATCTCGCGACTGCCAGCGATGTGGTAACGGGGCGCTTGGTCTTGTCGACAGACTGATAGACGTTGACGAAGTGCGCCGATGTCGTTGAGGCCGCCATGGCGAGGAAAGGGACGGACGTGACGCAGTCTGTGATGACGTACAAATTTCACCAGGTTTATTTAGGTTTGGAATGTTGAAGGGTTCGGATTACTTCAAGGCCGTCGAGAATTTCGGACATTCGCTTGCCTTTTTGTACCTCCTGCCTACCTGCGCGCGCGCCTGCCCTCTCTGTGTTTCGGATGCACAATCCGGCCCGCCCTTGGCACTAGCGGAGGAGGCTGACGACGGGCTGTCAGAAGAAGCAATAATTCCTCACTTGACTTGGAATAGTAACATTGAGGCTGTCTTGCAATCACATGCTCTTACTGTTCAGTATTCAACTATCTCACTGCCTTGTTGGTTGAATCTGACATAAGAGAGCCACCCATTGGCTGCGGTCACTTGAGTTGCCTATCTGAGCCATGCAGTGGCACGCGTGGCACGCAAATCACAGCGAGCGTGCCCACACGCGACACCATCCCTTGAAATCTGGGCTGCATGATGCGCCCATTGCCCGCCACTTGTCAGCCTAGCATCTGAGTCTGATGGGTCGCGCTTGAATCCTTGCCGCTGCACCGTTTGCCTTCTTCTGCACCTATGAGCGTGCAAGACAGACTGGCGAGCCGCATTCTCGGCTCCCATCCTCTCTTCATGGTGCGCCTTTTTCAACAGCTATGTCCGTCTGACGTACAACCGATTCACTTGTGCGATTCGCTTTCTGACATTGAGGCAGACTCCTATGCAGGTAGACGTCGGTACTTGGTGAGGCCGATTTCTGCCATACCTTATAAGTTGTTAGTTTCTGTGATGAAGTTTCGCCGGCAGCTATCTTCGCCTTCCTCCCGCCCACTCACCTTAGAAAGTCTTCGAGTCGAGATCCCAAAACTTCGTCTTGGTCAGGAGCTGCCGATCAAGCTCGTCTTGGGCCCGCTCGCGGGTCACGGAGTCGGCGAGCTCGGACGCGCTGGGCGATAGCTGAAATTGATTCAGAGTGAAAGGTCGGCATGCCACTCCAACCGTCTTCTAGTCTTATTATCGAGCGAATATGCCAGGCGAGACGGGAGACGGGGTCACCATAACTGACGTTGTGCGGCAGCAGGCGGAGGTTGCGGCCACAGGGCCCCCAGTGCTGCCAAGGCAGCCGGCACCAATCCTGCCTGAGCCTGCGGCTGGTACTGAACCTGCGGTTGGTACTGGACCGGAGGCTGATAGGCTGGGGCCGGCGCTTGATATTGCACCGGCGGCATCTGATACGTGCAGTACGCCGGCGGAAGGGCATTCTCGAGGTCCGGGTCGGGACCCTTTTGTATGACGACGCATTTGTATACGCCGTAGAGTATGCCACTCCCTACTAACGTACTGAGCACGGCGATTGTGACTGCTAAGCCGGTCTCCATGGCGATGATCTGTCTCGTAGGAATTCTCGAGGTAGGTGGTTGATCGAGAGGTTATTAGTGATTATTAGTAGTTATCGTTGCTAGCTGCAGTAACGCTGCTGAATATACACGAGAAGATGTCGAGTATGGCTGTCGGATTCTAGAAGAAGGACTCAGCTGACATGCGAAGAAGGGATGATGTTTTCGTTTGAATATTTGGTCTGTAGATCAGTTGGGTCATTGTATATATTTTTTTGCAAGCTTCGGAGATACTAACTAACCACGACTTCCGAATATGTTAACGGAGAAAGTTTTCACGACCGCTGGGCATGAAGTGCTTGATGCTCGTCATACGAAGTCTTATAAACCTTGTTTAGTTCCGCTAGCAGGCACTCCTTCTCAGGACCCTTGCGCAGCCATGGTACAGATCATCCGGCTACCTCGACCTTCCCGTAATGTACCTTACCTTGCGATGAGGTTATATCTAGGATTCCGCAAAGGTCGGGTTCACCAAAGACATTGAAGGACCTTGAGGGTCGAAAGATGTCAATTGGTCCCTAAGTTAAGGCCTCGTGAACATGACAGGGCCCTAGGATGGAGTCTCATGGATCGACAGAGACAAGGCAGTAGGTAGCGCCAGTCCTCCGAGAAGCATCCCCACTTCTCACCGACATTCGGGCCCGGGGGGCGGGGCCGATCGGACTACTTGCGACGGGCCTTTCCCGCGACATGTCCATGCTGTAACTTAATCGTTTCTTTGCTTTTTCTGAACTCTCTCCCACAGCAGTCTTGTCCGTCACTTAGTTAAAATCGGAATACCACCTCAATCTAATACGCGTACCGAGGTACCCCTGCCCGCGCGGGGTTATGCGAACCGAGGATCGTCCTCACTTGGCTACGGTCCTTCTCCAAAACGAGACGAAAACAACACCTTCTTTTTCTGGTTCCGCCTAGATTGGCCACCAATCTCATCTATCATCCCACCAAAAAGCCAAGCAGATCCGCAATATATATAGGACAAGAGCCAAGATGGAACATCCCCAACTACCGACCATCGCTGCCGAAGCTATGGGCACTTTTTCAGATTCTTGGATACTCAGGGGTAATTTGCCAGCCAACCTCAACCCAGCAAATCGCAACCTTCCCCCTTTATAGCCTTGAACTTGCCTTTTTGATATCCACGGTCCCGAGCCCGACTTACTTTCCCCTCTTGACAAGTGTTGCGTAGGAGCTCTTTGCTGGTCTCTTTGATGTGACGATACTATACCAGGGAGGCGCTTACCATGCGTTTGGTTTGGTCTTCTGCATTGAGCCGAGGCCCTGGACTTTAGGCAAGTCACAACGGCTGTTGAGAGATGTCTCTGACTTCTGATAATCGGACTCGAAGGTTCCAAATCTCCTGTATTTAAACAAACTCATTGTCGATAGACCTTCCATCTGATCTCTGCATCTCCATCTAGAACAAGCTTGAGCAACATCAAGATCCGCAAATCACTACTCACCAAAACGCTTCTAAACATGCATCCCCTCACCCTCTTCGTCGCCGCCCTCCCGCTGGCAACCCAAGCCAACGCAGCCCTCCAGCGCGTCACAAACTTCGGCTCAAACCCAACAGGTCTAACAATGGACATCTCCGTGCCCCCAAACCTGTCCGCCTCCCCCGCCATCATCCTCGCTCTTCACGGCTGCGGCGGCTCCGGCGCAGCCTACAGCCGGCAGGCAGAGTACATCCCCTTGTCGGACGCGAAGGGCACCTTTGTCGTGATCTACCCGTCTTCCTCCCGCGACTTCAACTGCTGGGACGTCGCCACAACCGCCAGCCTAACCCGCGACGGCGGCGGCGACTCCACGGGGCTAGCCAACATGATTCGCTACACCATCGCCCAGTACGGCGCCGACCCGAAGCGCGTTTTCGTCACAGGCAGCTCGTCGGGCTGCATGATGACCAACGTGCTGACGGCCACGTACCCGGACCTCTTCGCCGCCACCTCGTGCTACTCGGGAGTCGCGGCGGGTTGTCTGGCGGGCTCGCCCGGCTCGAGCCCCATCAGCGCCGATCCCACGTGCGCCAACGGGCTGGTCGTGAAGACGGGCGAGCAGTGGGCCGCGCAGGTGCGCGCCATGTATCCCGGCTACAACGGGAGCTACCCGCGCGTGCAGACGTTCCACGGCACGGCGGACTCGCTTGTCAAGTATCCCAACTTGGCTGAGCAGCTCAAGGAGTGGTCTACCATCCACGGTGTGAGCTTTGCGAAGAACAACACCAACACGCCCATCAGTGGATACACGCAAATAATTTACGGAGACGGCACTAAGCTCGTGGGATACTCTGCGCAAGGTGTTGGACACACTGTTCCGGTTCAGGAGGATCAGGACTTGAAGTGGTTCGGCTTGTAATAGCTGTGGTTAGCCAAGAGGATTGAGGAAACAGTTGCAGAATGAGCTGGTATTGATGCCATGCAACATGTACAGCGTAGATATGGAAGCAGGCGCTAAGTCTCCGCTAGATACATGAAATCAACAGATTCCTTAAATATGGGATGTGAAGGAACTGCTCGATAAACACTAGAACATTTCCCTAAAGTGGTTGAAGACATTCTCGACGTATGAGTTCGATACAGCAGTGGTCGGCGGCATGCTGGCGTCGGACTGGCCACCGAAACCATCGTCCCCATTAGATGCGAAGCCGTTGAGCCCCAAGTATCCCTCAAAAATGCGACTCATCTCGTTTTGAATGCGGACTCCGTTATTTGGTGACTGGGCCGTATCCAGGTTTGGCGTTTGTTGTTGGGGTATCGTTGGCGTTGTGGATGAGCGTCCGAAAGGCGCAATCCCCGCCGGGCTGTTTGGCATGCGTCCGCCACTCGCGAGTCCAGCCATTGTCAGAGCCGCGGAGCTGTGCGCATCTTCATCTGGCAAGTTGCGAAGACCAATGCTTGGTGCAACTTCTTTGAGGGAACTGATGGTACGCCATAGCCGCTGGGAGACCCAACTTTTGGCGGATAGGTCCTTAACAAGCTCCAGGGCCATGTAGAACTCTTCTCGGCACGTGGAGCTAAACCTCACTGGTGCATGGACAGAAGCCAGGAAGAGAACAGAAATTGCCGATGTCAAAAATTGGTGGTAGAATACTTGTATCTTACGATACAAATTCGTGGTGTTGTTGAGATGGCTTAGATAGCGGATCGTGTCTTTCGCGAGATCAACTACACGCTGAGCTTGAGCAAAGTGGCCCATGATGCTAGTTGCGCTATGCAGGATTGGTGTATACAGCCAGATGCGGATCTGCAGACAAGTCAGCATCAAGGTCATGGCCGCAATCTCTTATGTAGCAACACAAACCTGATTAAACCGGAGATATGTCCAAATGCGCAGGCGTTGAAGGTTATACGACGGAGTCGAGGTCATTTGCTTCTCCTTATCCCAATTGCGTAGTTTGACTTCTTCTGGTACGTTCTCATACCATTGAAGGATCTCTTGGTCTAACTGCTCCATGTCTTCATGGCGGAGCTCACGGGCTAGGACAGGGCCAAAGTCTGTGACTTGACGCCAGACCTTGGCTCCCAACCTCGAGTAGCTGATCATAGCAACCAAGTACGGATATTCTTCCTGTGCAACTGTGAGTAAAGTGACGCCCAGATACTCCATGTTGGAACAGGGTTACTCACAGGCATGGGTAATTCTGGATCGATCTCTTCATCCGGAACGACGAACGGCAAGCCAGTGTTGAAAGCCCACCGCCGATCCAGAACGTAGGCCGACCAGAAACTGTTCAACGCATTTTTCCTATCCTCTTCGTTCTTGATTTTGGCGATGCCGGCTGTTCTGTGGATGCCCATCTCCAAGCACAGTCTGGTGACTTGGCCCATTACGCGCCACGCCAGGATTTCCTCGTTGGCCAAGAATCTGTATCCAGCGAGAAGACACAAAGCTGGAAGACTCACAAAGTCGACCGCCTCGACCATGAGCTTCCGATTGAGAACGGCGTCCATGCTGTCAATGAGCTTGCACGCTTTTTCACTGTGCCCGTGCTCTTCCACCACAAGAGCGCAGCTCATGACGATCTTGAGCTGCAGTGTCTTGTCATCATTGAGGTTTGGCGTGATTCCCTGCTTTCGGGCTGATTCCATGTAAGCCGTCAGGTGACGGACATGCTCAATGACTGACGGTATCTTGATGACAGGATACATGATGCCGACCTCTTCGTCATGTAGGCGACACAAACGAATCATCTCGTCCTTGCCAAATTCCCACAAGGGGTCAATTTGGCTTTCTTGAGGAGGCATGCGGAAAGGACTGTCCTCGGGTACACCCAGGGGCATGCCTTGTTCATCCTCCCCAATGCCCTTGTAACCCATATTGTGAATGGTAGTGTTGGCGATGTCCAGGCTGTAAGCCATACTTGTTGGGCCACGGAAAGTTGCCTGCTTCGTTTGGGTCAACTCAGGCCGGTGGAGAGGAGACAGCGAGCTCGCCGGGGAGGCCTGAACTGTGCTTGAGGGGAAAGGCAATACTTTGTCCTGGATGGGCGCCAGACGCAGGGTTTCAGATCGGAGGGTATTCATGTTCTGATAGAGGTTATCGACCTGCTCTTGCAAGCGGGCCATCTGCTCCGTCATGGTCTTGTACTCGTCCGAGTCCTTGAAGCTGTTGGAGCAGCAATTCGGGGCATAGAGGCACTGCAGGTTGAGATTGCCACATCGTTGGCAGGGAGTTTCGCCATTGCATTTGATTTTGCGTCTTTTGCATTCGTTACTGTTGGAGAGAGCGTGGGCCGAATTAGTGATCTCGTCCTTTTGTACAGATGAGTTTAGAGACTTGGAGCAGCTTATGGCAGCCAATGATTTGTGTAGGTAGACGGTTGGGTCAAGATTCTCCGACCACAAGGAGAAGAAGTTGCAATGGTATTCGGCTGGGCGCATGCCAAAGACATGGCCGGGACGGAGGTGTCCTTACCAGGCAATAGATATGTACTGTTACAGCGGCAATTAGCTTTCTGGAGTTCCACAAAGTTTATCAATGACATGGCACACAGCGGGAAAGGTGTTCACAGGGGAAGAATGACAAGAACAAGGAGACGATGGGTGGCTAAGGTAATGAATGGTAAAGACGGAACGACGTATAGACAGCGGCAAAGACTACGCACCCGGTTCCTCTTGCTTCTCTGCTGCTTAGCAGCATTGCTCTCATCCTCTGATTTCCTCTTGGAACCAGTAACGGAGCTTGAGCCAGGCGTTCCAACTTGAGTTGCACCTCTGGAGGCCCCTGGTTGTTGTGCGGAATTGTCTCCGGGGGTCGCGGAAAGGGGGGAATGGACAGAGTGATTGTGTGGAGAATAAGCGGCGGCATTGGCAGCGCGGTCAGGCGGCAAAGGAACGGCTGCTTGGGTCAAGTAGCGCAAGTCGCTGACCTGCGCATCAATCTGCTCCATTGCGCATGGCGAGGCCCCCGGCGGACCTGTTTTTGTTTGTTTCTCGCGTTCGATCGTGAGCGACTGTTGAGCGATGGGGAGCAGGCGAGTAATGGCGATTTTCTCCCCTGTTTGCTCAGGCAGGTACCTGGGTACCTCACTGTCCCCCCCTTAGGCTCTTAGCCTCACTTCTTTTTTCGGGTATCGGGGCTTTCCTGCTCTCAGCTAATCCCGCTGACCTTCACGTGACCGGTTGAGCGTCCGGTCACGCGTTATCTTCATTAAGTCCACTTTTACGTGATGCGATCCTTGAATGATTGGTCGCCCTATCGAGGCTTTCATTTCGAATGACGGCATTCCTCCCATTGCCCAGGTCGTCAACCGAGGCTGAACCGCTAAAGGGCGTGGTATCGACTCTCAGATCCTTAGCCAGAAGAGGAGTCTGCCTTGTGCTTGTCCGAGTACCGGAAATGGAGGATTGCCTCCCGTTCAGCTAGGTAATAGGTAGACACGGAATCTGCTTCCAACACCGATACATCATCCATCTTACAGGTTGTGGGCCTTGAGAGAATCCAAGTCCAAAAGGTCGGAAGTTTGAAGATTGGAGTCTACGAGGTGTTCCTCAAGTCTCAAAATTAATCCCCGTTGGCTTGAATCACTTTACTTCTCAAAGATTGAGTGTTCCTCAACATCAAGCATGTCCCAGGGTATTACTGAACATGCCGACACCACCTTTGGCAGCCAGCTGTACAGGGGTCCACGAGCTGAGCTTACATAATGCGTCAAACTTCCTTGGTGGGGTCCTTGGTTCTGCCGCTCGTCACCACCAAAAAGTTTCCTGAAGCCCAGAAAATTCACCTAGCATTGCGCAGCAGGCCCCTCTGCGAATTGCCACACAAGCCGTAAACCACATGCACGATGTCGGCCCGTAGAAGAACATCCGATTGGGAAGACAAGCCAGCAAAGGGTATGCAAAAATCTGCTAAGCACATCATTGCAGTACTGACTCTGATATTTTCTAGATCTCGATCCTGAGGCTGAGCATGTCGAGCAAAGCGAAAACGACAGCGGCAGTGAAGAAAGCGCAGATGAGAATGCGGGCACCGAGCACTATGTCGCAGTCGGGTACGATACACGATCAACAGAAAGCATGCATATGTAGCCTGGGGGAGAACTAACCTTCCGTCACAGCAAGAGCAAACTCCGGGGAAAGGAGGGTGTCTCGCTAGGCCCGAAATACCGCGGCGCTCGCGTCAGCCGCGACGCACTGAACGAGTCGAGCGACGACGATGATAGCGAGATATTCGAGGACGCGCAGGAGGACCTAGACTCTAATGGCGAGGAGTACGACGACCCGGACGCCGCCGACTTGGCTGCCGACACTGCAGCCGCCGGAGACGAAGACGTCGAGATCTCGAGCGATGACGCACTCGGCGAGAGCGACGATGAGAAGCTCGAGGCCTTTGCTTTCCGCGGCAGCTCGCAGCCCAAGGATAAGAAGGGAAGCCGAAGCAAGAGACCTACCGCTGCTGACTTCATCTCCGACGAGGATGAGGAGGAGGAAGATGATGACGACGAGGACGGCGAGGGTGCTGCATTGGATGATGAGGACGACGAGATGGACGACTCAGATGACAACGAAGGTCTGACGGACGGATTAGAAGGGTCAGACGAGGACGAGGAAGACGAATTGGGCTCAGATGAAGAATCGGAGGAAGATTCTGAGGACGACGACGACGACGAAGACGACAAGCCTCGCGGCAAGTCCTCCCAAGCCGACGCCAGAGCCGAGCAGCGCAGGCTCATGAACGAAGGCTCCAAGGTCCTCGCCGCCTCCATCTCCGCCGCCGCTCAGCAAGACGCCCAAAAGGGCCTCGCCGTCCGCGAGCAGCGCAAAACCTTTGACGGCCTCCTCAACATCCGCATCAGGCTGCAAAAGGCCCTCGTTGCCACAAACTCGTACTCCACCGTCGAGGACGACGAAGAAGAGCAAAACTCTGAACCGTATGAGGCGGCCGAGGAGGCGGCGCTCAAGCTGCTCAACACCCTCGACAGCTTCCGCGCCAGCCTGCTCCCCGCAGAGCTACAGCAGCAGCAGGCCGGCGGCAAGCGCAAGAGGGGCGAAGCGTTCGACGCCGCGACCTCGAGCCAGGAGATCTGGGAGGGCATCCAGCAGGCCGAGGAACGCGCGGCCAAATACCGCAAAAAGGTGCTCGAGACGTGGTCCAGCAAGACGCGCAGCGCCACGGTGGAGGTCAAGTCGCGCAACCTCATCTCCTCGCAGGCGTCCATCGTCGCCTCCCTCGAGGAGCAGCTCCTCTCCGCCGACCGCCTCATCAAGCGCACCCGTACCCCGCGCTCGTGCGCGCCGGCGCAGGTCGCGGCCAAGGTCAACGAGGACCCGGACATTTACGACGACGCCGATTTTTACCAGCTCCTCCTCAAGGAGCTCGTCGAGCAGCGCACCGCCGACAACGGCGGCGCTGGCGCCTCCGGCGCGCAGCCCACGGTGCGGTGGGCGGCGATGAAGGAGGCAAAGACCAAGAAACACGTCGACAGGCGCGCGAGCAAGGGCCGCAAGATGCGCTTCAACGTCCACGAGAAGCTGCAGAACTTCATGGCGCCCGAGGACCGCAGGGCGTGGGAGCAGGATGCCGTCGACAGATTGTTCGGCACGCTGTTTGGCCAGAAGATGGAGCTCGGCGAGCAGGCTTCTGATGCGGAGATGGAGGACGATGAGGAGGTTGATGCTGAAGAGGCCGGTCTACGGTTGTTCCGCAACTAGGGCTGTGTAGGAATGTGAATGGCCAAAAAGAAGATGGGAAACTGGACACACAAAAGTTTGTACATTCATAAAGATATCCCCATGATATAAACCGGGGCGAGAATTCGCATCAATGATCTCGAAAGACCATCGTTCAACCGTTCCCCCTAAATCGTAACACTGGTTGACTTTCTAAGCGGCAGCCCAGCCTTCTCATACGCCATGTCAATCATCCTCATCTGACTAATACTATCCTCCCCATCAACCCACACGCTCGTCTCCCTGCCCCTGACGCGGTTGACAAACTGCTCCAGCTGATGCCGGTACGTGAACCAATACTCCTCGCCCTTGCCCGCCAACCCGGCCTCATCAAAGGTATACGCCTTCTTGGACGTCTTCTCCGTCCACCTCTTGACCACCTCGCCCGAGCCCGTCCGCCTCACCACAAACTCGTCCACGACGTCGATGCGGTGCCAGATCCCGCCCAGCATGAAATTCGCAAACTCAATCGTCCGCTTCCGCGTCTTCTCCTGGCCCGCGGGCAACTTGTCGTCGTCCGCAACCTTGACCTCTTTGTGAACGACGCTCAGCCGCGGCAGTCCCATCCCCAACGTCCCCGTCCGGAACGCCCCCTCGGCGTGCGCCGTCCCGCCGTTGGCCATCCGCCACGTGATGTCCCACGCGTAATCCGCCCTCTCCTCCGGCGGCGGCATCGTCTTGAACTTGGCCGTCAGACACTCTTCCGGCTCGACGCCAAACGTCTGCCGGATGCTCGAGACGGTATACGTGCCCAAATCCATCAGCCCGCCGCCGGCAAGACCGTACTGGAACCGGATATCGTCGTCCCCGAGCGCGAACCAGGGGATATACGCCCGCGCGTGCACGTGCTCGACGTTCTCCTTGTCAACAAGCCCCATGAAGTACTGCCAACTCGGCTGGAAGCGGTAATGGAACGCCTCCAGCAGGACGGGCGCTCCCTTCTCCTTGAGCAGCGGCAGCCGGAACAGGGCCTCGGCCTCCTCGGCGTTGGAGACGGACGGCTTCTCCAGCAAAACGTGCTTGCCCGCCTGCAGCGCCTTGAGGGCCCACTCGTAGTGCAGGCCGTTGGGCAGCGGGACGTAGATTGCGTCGAGCTCCGGGTCGTCAATGACGGCCTGGTACGAGTCCTTGACGTCCGGGATACCGTGCTTCGCGGCAAAAGCCTCGGCCTTTTTACGGTCGCGGGCGGCAATGGACTGGACTATGACCTCTGGGTGAGTTTTGGCCGGGATGATGAGGGCCATTGGGCTACGTCTCGGGTTAGCTTCCAAGTATTGATGATAAGGTAAATTTGTAGGAGTTCTCTTTTCATGAAAAGACAAAGTCCGAGATGGTACTTACGCAATATTGGCTGCACCCAGGACGCCGAAGCGGATGGCGCCATCTTGCTTTGGTGCGACGGGCGGGTTGAAGATGAGATAGTTTCGTCGTAGGAAGCCGAAGACGGAGGCCATTGTGATGGAGGTGAGATATGCAAGAAGCGTTTTATGTGTGATTACAGATTACAGCTCAGTCAACTGAAGCCAGTTCACAACTCCAGCTACTAGTGGGTATTTATGAGAGTTAGAATAAGATTAATTGAGTGATGAGTGAACCAACAAACATTTGCAGGGGAAAGTTGATTAACAATCTGGGGGCTGGTGTTGCAAGGCATGGGATGTTTCTCCTCACCGGCTTTGGTCCGCCGACGGACATGAGACGACGTAGCAGCACAAGGGAACGGAAGGGTTAGCTCAATCCCGGCGGGGTTCAACGGGCAATTGGGCCGACAACATCAAAGCTTAGTGCGGGCAGCTCATATTCGATTGCAGACTTTGGTCACATAATAATGAGGTGTCGCCGAGCTTGAAGTTGTTGGTTCAAGTTGTCAAATATGGGCCCTGCATCCATCGTACCGCTTCTGGCAGGTGTTTTCCGTGTGCAACGTTGGACCGACCGTTAAACCCCCTGCAGGTATCCTCATACAAAACCCCGCCGTTACTGCTGGGCATTTCACGTTGTGGGAACGATGCATGTTGTCACAGTCACCATCTGCATAGGTCGGTTGGTTGTCTCTTTTACTTCATTTTGAGAACTACGTAGGTGGGCTTTTCGCCATCATCATCCTACGGAACAGAGCAGACCACATCCCATTTTTGGTCTCATCTCTGTGGAGGTATCACCCATGAACTTTTCCTTTACAAAACATCGTTGGCGTTGAAGTCGAACAGAGCCTGCTTGACACGCTCCTTCATGGTCTTCTCGCCCTCACGGACCCAGACTCTAGGGTCGTACTTCTTCTTGTTGGGCTTGTCGTCACCCTCGGGGTTGCCGACCTGGGTCTTCAGGTAGTCGATGTTCTTGGTGACGTAGTCGCGGATACCGGTGAGGTAGGCCCACTGCAGGTCAGTGTCAACGTTGACCTTGACCACACCGAAGGAGATGGCCTTCTGGAACTCCTCGACGGCGGAGCCGGAACCACCGTGGAAGACGAAGAAGACGGGCTTCTTGTCGTCGGTGCCCAGCTTCTGCTGGACAAACTCCTGGTGCTTGCCGAGGAGCTCGGGGTGAAGCTTGACGTTGCTGCCATGGGTTAGAGCTGTGGTTTGCAGGGTTTTGAGACACACGCGACTTACCCAGGCTTGTAGACACCGTGGACGTTACCGAAACCGGCAGCGATGGAGAAGAAGGGGCTGATGGGGCTCAGGGCCTGGTAGATGGCGTAGATGTCCTCGGGCTGGGTGTAGAGGGAGTTGTTGTCGACGTCTTCGTTGTTGACACCGTCCTCCTCACCACCGGTGATACCGATCTCCATCTCGAGCCACAGCTTCATCTGTGCGTAATGCTTTAGTGATAGGCGCAAGAAAAAGGTTCTGTTTGTGACTTACGGGAGCAGAGCGCTTGAGGTACTTGGCGGTGGTCTCGATGTTGTAGGCGACATCCTCTATGTGTTTGTTAGTGATGGTCATGGGGAGGGCGAGATTGGAACTCAACTACATACCCTCGGAGAGATCGATCATGTGGGAAGAGAAGAGGGGGTGGCCGGAGCGCTTGAACTCCTCCTCATCGGCGGAGATCATGCCATCGAGCCAGGGCAGAAGCTTCTTGCTGTGGTAGAAGGTCAGTTTGCTGGGTCTTGAGATTAGGCAGTTGTGCCGAGTACTTACGCGCAGTGGTCAGAGTGAAGGACGACGGGAACGCCGTAGATGGGGGCGATAGAGGTGATGTAGTGAGCGGCAGCAATGGCACCGGCGACGGAAGCCTCCTGCTTGTCGGCGCTGTTGGGAATGCCCTTGCCGGCGAAGTAGGCGGCACCACCCTGGGAACTGTAAAGCTGTCAGACATGTTGCTGAAGTTTATGGTGTGGCTAATCTTGGATCCATGGGATCGGTATAGGATTTCTACGCACGTCTGGAGGATGATGGGAGACTTGGCCTCGCGGGCAGCCTCGAGAGCGGCAACGGCGGTGGAAGAGGAGGTCTGGGAGGCGGGGTCGTCGTTAGCCGATTGTCACCAAATATTATGTCCCCTCCATTCTTGGACCGCACGGCGCCAACTCGGCACGCGTCACAGGATCGACAAGATTGGGATTGAGATGGTCCAAGGAGCCAAAGGGAAGCAAGCTACTTACGACGTTGGCAGCAGGAATGGCAAACTGCTTGGCCTTGGCGTAGTTGAAGAGCTTCAGGAGGTCATCGCCGTAGACGACACCAGGCTTGATGTTGAGCTCTGACAGGAGACCCATTGTGAATGGCGGGGTATCTGACGTGGGGTAGAAAAGATGTTCAGGTTGATTGCGTATAGTAACTTGTCCAGAGTAAAGTCGGACTGTTTCTAGATTGATGCTCAGAGGCAGAAGGATAAAAACGTAAGAGAATATGCAGGGACAGGTATTGGAGAAGAGGGAGAAGAATCAACAGGAGAGTTTGGCTCGGGGTTGAGGTGGACGCGGGCGAGTTATGTTTGATTCCCACGAGCGGGATTTTACTCGGGCTGAGCAGGACTGGTCCAGTGTACTTGTACTGCAGCTACTGACTGTACCAAGCCAGCCAGACCCGGTCCACCTTGACCGTCCGTCGATGGGCCACGCCTACGGCCAAGCATCGGTCCAGTTACCGGCGGGTGCTCTCCCACCTCTTCCTTTTTGACCAAGCGTTGGCTGGTTGGCTGGGCGTGTTGCGTGAGGTGCGAGGTAAGGTACATGGGTGACGCCGATTTGGCCGTGGTTTCCCCTTCAACTGCTCCGAGCGGGAGTACTACTGCGTATACCTGGTGGTTCTGAGGTACCTGACTCCGTCCATGAGGAGCTCCGCTCTGCCAGCTTCAATTCTTTTGGGGGAGGTACCACCGTCCACCGAGCATCCCATGCTCCCTCGTTCTTTCCTGCCTTTGGTCACTCCGGTAATGGGAGGAAGTGGACATACCTGTCCTGGCACCTTCCATCGAGAATTGTACATCAGTCACGAACATGAACCTGTGACATAATAGAGCAATCTTAGGTAAGAGACTTTAGGCAATACATCTTCCTTTTTACACACTCAATTACCTACCTACTTTACACCATGACAGCAAGCAAACGGTTTGACCTGTGGCTGAATCCGAGCATTGCTTCCATTGAGAGAAACAAGCCATCAACAACACTGCGCCTGTCTCAACCCAATGGAACACTATGAGTTGTTGAGGGGCAAGTACCTCGACCGGTCGGACAGTAAGAGGGGTACTTCGGACAGCTACGAACAGCCCCTCTATTTCCTCTTACCACCACGTCAAACGCGAGTAACCCCTCCCCCCACCCGGCCATCAAATTGACGTCAAAAAATTGATACTGCACCACTTTCTGCAGGGATCCAATCGTCGCCTCTGCTTTTTTTGGTCTCTTTGGGTCAAGGAGCCATCGATAATGGCGGGGGCCTAGACCTGACACCACCGAAACCGCCTGCAACAGACCACCTGAACCTGGGCAAACGGTACGGACACACCTGCGACCTTGGTGCAAATGGCGC